TTCTAAAGGCTTTTTAATAAATATGGCAACATTTTGTGACGTTTCATCGTTGCTGACGCGTAGTGAAGTGTTTTGAGAGTCATGTGAAGGCAACAGAACTTACGTAACGCATACGTTTTTTTTATAGTTTTTCATTTCTTGATGCGTCCTTAAAGTGTCGGAATATACCGCGTTTACCCTAATTCATCTCATCATCTGCTGGAAATCTTGCAGTTCAGGAAATGGCAGGAAAGCTCTAGTTGCAGCCCTAAGGCCAAGGGTAGACGTTTTCCACGCTTGCGCTAGCCTAGTCTCTTGAAGTCCCTTAGTTATTCTTGTCCTGGCAATTTAGTTTCTTCCCTGGACCCTACAAGACTATTAACTTTAAGTTAATAATTAATGATAATAATAAGTAAAAGACAAACTTCAATTAGCTCAGGCTGACAGCCTGGCAATTTAATTTAGACCAGCTAGCAAACTAAAACACTCAACAGTCTCAACTCAAGGCTCAAGCCATCAAAGTTCAAATTAAATTAAACATGTGACGATGTGAGTTTAGACTTAGGTAGTTAGAGGCATGGGAATTAGGAGGCTAGGAGGCTAGGAGCTACCTAGCTTAGCTAGCTACCTAGCAACTTTCACAGTTTCACTGAATGTCCACAAAGTTTAAACTTTATTAATCTGGCCACTAGTCACTCACTGTCACTGGTCAGCAATAATCAGCATGCAATTAGAAAAACTGCTTTTATTAAAAAATTTGTTAAATGTACCATTTACATCAGTTTATACTTTATACTATTACACCTTGGGAATTTAGAGGGGCTGAAACTCATGTTTAGCTCCCCTTAGTTAAATTAGGTTAACACTTTACAGTTTACAGACGCACGCTACTGTTCTATCAACTATCATCTATGCTAGGCTGCTAGCCTCATTGCTAAATGCTAATGCTAGCTAGGTATTAATTAAAAGTCCGTTAGAATTGGTTTGATTGATTAAAAAATTTGACGAGTGATAAGATAATTGTGTGCTAAATCCCCGATCTATTGAAGACAAATTGATCCTAATCGACTGCCAAATGCCAAGATCAACTAGTGTTTAATCTTCAACCACGAAGGCCAAATGTAAATGATAGCGAGTTCGAGTTAGAGTCGTCCGACGTCCTGTAGGGCAGTGTTGCCAGATGGGCCTTTTTCAGGCCAAATTTCGCAGATGTGGCCTTTTTTAAGGGCATTGGCCTGACAAAAATTAAATTGGCCTTTTTATCCGTTTTGGGCCTTTTTTATGAAAAGTGTAATTCCCGTTTTTTTCTGATAATTTGGTCCTTCAATTTTATCCAAGACGAGTACACCTAAATTTAGTTTTGCCCAAGACGAATAAACTCTAATTTTGACACGTAACTGTGTCAACACTTCGGTTTACAGGTTTAGGTGGCAACACTGGCGAGTGCCGCTCAATTCGGGCAACATTTTGGTTGAACCATGGGACTATATCCAGTTGCCGAGTGGTATTAATAACCACGGATGGCAGAGCTGAGAGCGCGTATAATCGAGTATAGTTTTCACTTCTAAATAGTAAATTCAGCACTAATTTTTGAGGTTACAGCCCTGTTTATCAATACATTCAGCCTTCTGGTGTGAGTCACTACAAAATTTCACTTTGAATAAATATAATTTACTCTTTTCCGAATTATGATAGGCAATATATTTTTTCTACGCATTCAAAAGTTGTGACAAATTTATAGGATTGACAAATAATATATACTTTAGTCTTGCAAGGACCACATCATCTTTATACTGCAGATATGAGTTTACATTTATTTTAATTTCCGCGTATAAATATTCTACCATCAATACCACAGAACTTCGCCACATCATTAATGTCGCCGGCCACTTCACTATGTATTTTCTTAGCAAACTGAGCCAAAACTTTCTAACGCGATCGAAAAGCTTCATAGATGTAAGGTGGCAATCGAATCCTAAATATCATAGTTCTGGACCTGTATTATACGGTTTTATTTACGGTCAGCAAGTAACGTGCAGAAACGTGCAGGCTGGAACCTGGCGGCTTATGTAGCATTGGCGGTAATTCAGCTCGTACACTTGGTGAAATTGGTGTAGTTTTTTTGCTTTCTGAAAGCGTTGAGAGTAAATGCATGCCCTGCGAATGGTTAGAACTACCTTTAATTTAAGAATTTCTTATTAATTTCAAATGAGGCCTTTTGTGGCCTTTTTTGTGAGCTAAATTGGCCTTTTTCACTCGGCTCCATCTGGCAACCCTGCTGTAGGGCTGTAGTCAGTGTAGTGTGATGACACAGAAGGGAGTAACACTATCGAAAATCTGTGTGCCAAGGAAGTAGCAGCATCGATATTTGATAAAAAGTATCAGTTAATGAAAGTATGCGGTAAATAATCTCGTGACTATCGTCATCTCCTTCCGATAAATCTGCAAATATTTGCCGAGACCAAAAGATTAACAACTTTGTCGACATGAATGAATCACGCACTTCAAATGCATCCGAATCCGAGACTGATTCCCTATACTTCAGAGTAGAAAGTATAAAACTTTCAGGTAATCGCAAATTTTGATTCGTCAATAAAACGAATGGAAGTATTACACGTGTAAACGACTTAATTGTTTTTTTTTCAAATATTGTATAATTCACCCAATGATATTCCGAACTGAAATGCGCATTATGTTTTGTTTACAAATGGGCGTGCTACTATTACTGCTGTTATGTATAACAAATCCCAGCCATGAAAAGCGTAAACTATTTCCTGATTTTCCTATTATAATGAATCCATTGTGGTACAGGCTACAGCTATTATCATCATCTAATGATATAGGCAGTTCTAAGTTTAATTCATCTTTGGTTATGTTGTCGGCTATGAGACTATAAGCAGAGTATGTGCGAGGAAAAATGTTAGAAACAAGCAGTAATTGTGAAAAATATTTATTGAAAATCTTGAAATTAAACTTTCTTATCATCTGTTATAAAGGCTGACCTCATGCAGCCCTTCCCTTGCCATTGACAAACTGTTTAATCAAACGATATATATGTTATGACCATGAGATATTCATTCCATGGCCTGCTCATTATTCCACTGTTAAAATTCCAATCATAAAAAATAGAGTATTTGAATGAAATTTCAAAGAAATATTGTCAGTGGTAATAAATCTCACGAATCTAATATTTACCGTCAGAACTGTACGACTGGTGCAACAAGAGTAATATCCACGACACTGCCGCTCGTTCACCGCTTGCTGAGTCAGTAGAAAAACGCAGCCTTGGTTTGAACAAAGTTACTGATTATTTTTCCAGTGGCAAGGCCTACGCGACTATGAGGTGGAGTGTTAATAAAATAATTGTTTCCATGTTGTGCTATGATTTATACGCTCTGCCAAACACAAATTTCCGCTGTGATACGTACGAAATAATGTTGTTGCTAATGACCGTTGATTTATTGTACATGTAAAAATATTTGATTTTGAAGGTGGTTTTTCGAACCAAAAAGAATGAAAAGCTTTAGAAACTATAATGCATTGTTGGTCACTATTTCAACATCACTGGGCAGATGCGGTCGCAAAGTAAATGTGAATCATTGTGAATTGGCGCTCTTCAGGAAAGACCAAAATGTATATGCCGTTGAAGATAAGTGTCCGCACGCAGGCAAGTGTTTTTTTTTTCAGATTCATTTGACCCATACGATAGCGTTATATACGGGACACTAGTATCATGTGAAAAAACTCTCTTAACTATCACTCGTTATTGATTTGTTCGGTCTCCCGCAGCGTTTCTCAACCCTTTTGTCTTTGATTGGTGCCAAGATACGCAGTTATTCTCAATAAACAAAGTAGAAATTTTTACAGACTCGATACGAAATACCTAATGATACTTGAGCAATATAATTTCTCGGGGCAGGAGGGCCTCTACACATGGGCGACATAGAAGACTATGGCTATCAGCAAAAGCCATGCGTGCGTTGCCCGTATCATGGCTGGAAGTTTGACCTCACTACAGGCAAGTTCTCGTATTGTCCTTTCAGTTTCAGCCACGCATTTACGAGATAAGAATTGTTTACATGTTTCCGTCAGATCTTGTATGTACAATTATTCATTTTTCGAACAATATCGTGGGTAAACTTCCGCAAATTTTCCCGGAATTTCAGATCAAATCTCTACTCAAAATGTATTGTTACATCACATAATAATGGACATACTTGTAGTTATGCGGTTGTCTGTAGCAATTTTGAGTTGCAACAAAGAAATCATATTAATTCATCCCGTGCTGATTTTATCACATAGCATTAGGCAACAGATAACACTTAGTTTAGATAACAACAGGTAACACTTAGTAATTGTTTGACTAGGCTAATTATTTTGCCACCTCATTAAAGTTGGTAATTTGTACGATCTTGTAATTCAAAGCCTCTAATGATTCTCTGATTCCTCCTCAAAGTAGGTTAAAACATTCGAACACCTGTAAAGTTCAATAAGCCACTACTATAATACCTAGTCAATGTCTACGGTTTTTCTTCGTCAGGTGAGTGCATATACCCTCGCCATCAGACCAAGCAAGCCCGGGTTTACCCCGTCAAAGTCGACCCAAACGACGGGAGTTTATGGGTGGGCTTCAAATGCTTCAACGAGCAATACTTCCGAGAGCCATCCTGGTAACGGCTTCCGGCGACACACAGTTAAGGCGCGCGCTTTTCAGCTTCACCTTCTTCATCAATTAACAATCTATTCATTCTGCACTAATAAGCTATCTACTTGTACTGCACTAATTAACAATATACTAGTGCTGCCCCAATTAACAATATACTCTAGGTGCACTAATTAACAGTCTACTCATGATCTGAAAATAAACCAATGCTGTAAACTAATTATAAATACTATGAGCCGAGATCTCTTAGCTTGCCACGGGAATGAAATTCTGATGGTGGTGAATCGAAATGGGCAGCCATTTTTTCGTTCGCTAGCTTCACGTTTGGATACATAGTATTAAGAAAGTGTATCAACTGCGTACTCAAGTTGGAGTTTTGATTCATAATTTATAAAGATTCAAAAGCCGAGTGAAAACGAGCGCATTTGTCACCAAACTTATTTTTTTATTTGTTAGGCGTTCGTCTTATAATTAATAGGCTACTTAGTCGCGCTAGATTAATTATAGATCAACATAATTATAATAGTTTATCAAAGTTAATAATGTGTAAGTTACCTTTAATCACGTACTCATTTCAATATGTTCAAGTACACAGGAGAGTACAGTTGTACATTTTCCCTAACATATATTTAAAGGGCGAACTACATCAGTAAATCCCAAACAACTCTGCAATACAAGTTACAACTGAAATTTATTTGCCTTTTCCTGAATACTCATGTTCACAATAAGACCAGTAAAGCCGAAATGCGGAACATTTTTACAGCGGGTCTTTGGTTCTAATGCGAAAAATTTCAGTCAAGAACGAAAATGTAAAGTGACGAAAAACAGAAAGCCGAAAGCCAAAAACTAGCAAAAAATTAAATGACTTTGGTATCGCTGAAGCACTGAATTTCGTCAAGAACGAAAATGTAGAGTGACACAAAACAGAAAGCCAAAAACCAGAAAAAAATTAAAAGACTTTGGTATCGCTGAAGCACTAAATTTCGTCAAGAACGAAAATGTAGAGTGACGCAAAACAGAAAGCCAAAAACCAGAAAAAAATTAAACGATTTTGGTTTCGCAGAAGCACTAATGATATTAATAATAATATGCACGAGCACTTTGGTCTCGCTGAAGCACACAACATCAATGTTGTGGAACAACATTGATGATGTTTCACAATTCATACATGACAGCAGAGTGTAAACTTCATTTAATGAGATAGATAGAGTAGGATCTTGATCCCCAGAGTAGGATCTTGATCAAATGAGAAATTCCGAGAAGAATTTCCTTCAGTTCAACCTATTTATAAAGTTGGCAATCGGAAACCATAGATTTCATTATCAGTTCAGCAAAGTATTATAGAATAATTCTTTGCATTCAACGTAGTAGTTACTTGAATGACGTCTTTCACGTTATATTAAGATTATTTCCTAAGCGGCGTATAAAAATTTAAACAGTCAATACAATTCAGCTATTCACCTTGGAAAATAAAATAACAGGTTCATTATTGTAACGAGCAAAGTTCATCGAACGGTCAAGTTTTGACCACCTCATTTCCTCGAGACTAGATTCCTCAAATCAAGAACTCTAATTCTTCTTAGCAACGGACAACTTAGAGAATTTCCGCGGCAATACCACGATCTTTGATAATTGAGTAGGGCATATATTCATACCGTATAAGCTATAGCATATGTATTTCATAGTTATAATTCTCGAGTAACCACTGCAACGTGTCGATTATATAATTGCCATTCAAGGCAGAAATAGGCCAATAGCCGAGAATTAAGATAAAAACGGAAAATTACAATGATAAAAATGGAAATTGGCTAACTGCACACTTTAACGATGATCGTAACGTGAATATCCCAATTGGAATAAATTATGATATGACTATGGAGATAGGCGGCAGTCGCACTTGAAGATATCACGCTTGCCCGGCAATGAGGTTGCCGAGGCCAGGCTGCAGCTTCTCACCAAGGGCCAGCACAAGCGACAGACTGGGCTCATCCAAGTCAAGCACTGACCGCAACTTGCTCAATAATTTCTGGCTGCTTTCACTCCTGAGAAATTGTTATTAATTAAAATTACAACTTTAGTCCATCATGCAAAACCGTAAAATGAGGTAATTTGGACCATTTTTACAACACTTCTCTTAAAGTTCACTTCTTGTTTGTCTGATTGCCTGTCTGTCTGCTACAAATCTTATAATCGAAATTTAACACATGTAAGGAATTTGTTATGACAAAATAGCGGTTATCCCAACTTTACAACTAGATTGCGGACAGAAGTTGACTAGGAACAGAATATTATAGTTAGTAGGGTTGTTGACTCTAAGCTCCCATCCTCGACGAACGTCTTTCTCTGCTATGTACCTTACCTTATTGGTACTGGATAAATGCTGTTGTTGTAATAAACTGTATTATGGAAGGGAGTGATATGTACGCTATGGAGTGAAGAAGCTGACTTGGAGAATATCGAACGTATTACTTCTACTTATCCATCCTATCGATCTGAAATTTTGCACACTAACGTAAAGTTGGAGACAATGCATGAATGAAATGACAAAATAAATGATTTTAAAAATTAAAAAAATGTTTTCTTCCATATTAAAATAATATGCGTTTAAAAATTACTTTTTAAAGACAACACTTCTGAACAATCCAGTGTTTTGGATGTTACACATGTACAATGAATTTCTAATTTTATTTTCAAATATTGAAAAAAAATCATTTCAAAAATTTTTTTACGATATCAAAATTTTGTAAATTTTCAAAATTATTTATTCTGTCAATTGATTCATGCATTGTCTCTGACTTTATGCAATTGTGCAGAATTTCAGATCAATTGGACAGGTCAAATTGTGTCATATATGGATTATAAGATTTGTAGCAGACGAAATTATTTTTTAATTTTTTTCGATAATAAAATTTTTTTTTAGTTTAGAAAATCATTTACTCTGTCAATTGATTCATGCATTGTCTCCAACTTTACGCAAGTGAGCCAAATTTCAGATCGATTTGACGGGTAGAAGTGTGTTAAATATCTATTATAAGATTTGTAGCAGACAGACAAACAAGAAGTGAAGTTAAAGAGAAGTGTTGTAATAAAAATTGAAAAAATAATTTTGTCAGCTACAAATCTTATAACTGATATTTGACACACTTTTACCGATCCAATTGATCTGAAATTTTGCACACTTGTGTGAAGTCGGAGGCAATGCATGAATCAATGACAGACTAAATAATTTTGAAGAAAAATTTTATATATTAAAAAAGTGGAATTTTTTTTTTTAATATTCGAAAATAAAATGAGAATTTCATTGTACATCTGTAACATTGGAGACACTGGATTCTTTAGAAGTGTTGTCTTTAAAAAGTAATTTTCAAACGTATATTATTACAACACTTCTCTTTAACTTCACTTCTTGTTTGTTTGTTTGTTTGTCTGTCTGCTACTACAAATCTTATAATCGACATTCAACACACTTCTACCTGTCCAATCAATCTAAAATTTTGCACACTTGTGTAAAGTTGGAAACAATGCATGAATCAATCGACAAAATAAATAATTTTGAAAAATACATTTTTTCCAATATTAAAAAAATTGAAAAAATAACTTTGTCTGCTACAAATCTTATAATCAATATTTAACACACTTCTACCAGTCTGATCTATCTGAAATTTTGAACACTTACGTACAGTCGGAGACATTGCATGAATCAATTAACAGAATTAATAATTTGGAAATTTTATTTTTTTTATATATATTAAAATAATATGCATTTAAAAATTACTTTTTAAATACAACGCTTCTGAACAATCCAGTGTCTTGGATGTTACACATGTACAATGAATTTCTAATTTTATTTTCAAATATTGAAAAAATTATTTTTCACATTTTTTCAAATATTGAAAAAAATAAATTTTAAAAAATTTTTTAAAATATAAAAATTTTGTAAATTATAAACAAAATTTTTTCTGTCGACTGATTCGTGCATTGTCTCTGACTTTATGCAATTTTGCAAAATTTCAGATCGATTGGACAGGTCAAATTGTGTTGTATATGGATTATAAGATTTGTAGCAGACGAAATTATTTTTAAATTTTTTTTTTTGATAACGAAAAAAAATTTTAATTTATAAAATTATTTATTCTGTCATTTGATTCATGCATTGTCTTCAACTTTACGCAAGTGTGCAAAATTTCAGATCGATTGGACATGTAGAAGTGTGTTAAATATGGATTATAAGATTTGCAGCAGACAAACAAACGTCGAGAAGTGAAGTTAGAGAGAAGTTTGGTAAAATGATAAATTATTATTTTTTTAATATTCGGAAATAAAATTAGAAATTCATTGTACATGTGTAACATTGGAGACACTGGATTCTTTAGAAGTGTTGTCTTTGAAAAGTAATTTTAAACTTTTATTATTGACATTTAAGAAAAGAAAACCCCATACTTGAAAAATTAACTCAACTCACTGCAGTGATTGACAGAGAGCGCCGCATTTTCTCGACGACGAAAACGTGAAGTCACAGACAGATAGACGGACAGACAGACAGACGAACGGACATGACGAGCACATTAGCACCTTTTTTCCATAAATGAGAAAATACGCTAAAAAACAAGCAAATTTAAACTAAATTAGCGGTCTTGCTTACATTATTAATTCTTAGCTGAATTTTCACAGTTAAAAATTTTCCAGCCACATGAACTCACGTACACAGTTAATTCAGAGCACTCACTTGTTGTGTTCAATGAAATTGTAAACCCGAAATCCTGGTATGCTAGGAACGTGTATGATTGTATGAACACATGCAATAACTCACAGAGACTGTTAAATGAGACGAATTACTTCTGTTCAACAGAGGTTATGAGCGACAAGGTTTGGTTATGCTAGGACTCGCTTGTGTGAACACACACAATAACTCATACACACTGGCATATTAGAAGACTTACTTGTTATGTTTAACAAAGGTTATGAACGCCAAGGTTTGGTTGTGCTAGGAACGCGACTACGCTTGTTCGAACACACACAATAACTCATACACACTGGCATATTAGAAGACTTACTTGTTATGTTTAACGAAGGTTATGAGCGCCAAGGCCTGGTAATGCAGGGATCGCATGAAGGCTTGCGTAAAGCCGCTACGGACTTCACACGAGTGACTCATCAGCAGCTGACAGTCATGGGAGAACTGACGCACCAAGTTTGATATTTCCGAGACCTCCTTCAACACTTCCCTGTGGCAAGGTAATCGTTGACAAACAAACAGGCAATTCCTAGGATTTCGAATTAGAAGCCACAAGGGATTGTTTAGTTAAAATTGGCATGCATGAGACCAGACTTCAAATAATGTACGACATTAAAATATCGGCAAAATCATAATATCGCATAACTTCAATAATAACTTCAAACTACAAGATTTTGCTTCATCAAAAGAGAAACGTTGCAACGAATAACTTTTTTAGTTGGAAATCAAAAATATACAGTATGACCACGAAATGTTCTCAAATGTTAGAAAAGCCTGACTTGTTGCTGGAGGTGCGACGCACGATGGTGTGCGACACGATGAGGTTGTTCAGATCACACAGCGTAACTGGCCGCCCAAATTGCAGTAAGCGCTCGGCATTGACACCTTCTTTGCTGCTGCTGCTCACTACGCCCTTCAACATAACACATCTTGTCCTTCATACTATTTAAATGGAAGCCAAATCTTTCTCCAGTTAGCATTAATTGGAAATTTATTTCATTTTTTTAAATAGTTTTATGTTCCTAGTCTAACCAATATGGCGCTAATCTGACAAGTAAGTAAGCTACAAATTTGAAGTGACAGGGGGAATCAAGAAAGGCTAGTTGTGTTTGGTCCATGCAAGTAATAGATATGAAATGATGAATGGCTTAACGTCCTTCATATATATCTAATATACCTGGAGGAAGAGACCAGGCTGCACTTCATTATAGCAAGGATCCCAACACAGTCTTGATAAATGTAGTTCTTGTGGGCGAAGGAACTGTCCCAACCACAGCAACACCTGGTGGCCAATTAAAAAGGAACATAAGAATGGAGAGTCATATCGATCAGTGTAATAGTTTAAGATGTACTTGGCAGGTAATATTACTGAACACCTAATTCATTTCTTCATTGAATTTAACAAAATTAACCAAAAGTCAAAAAAGAAACAAAGCAATCAGTTAAATAATATTTTTATGCACAAAAAAAAAACTTTGTCGTTGATATATAACTGAATTTCATTCTTGGACTCAAACAATATAAAATGCACATCAGAGCAATTCAAGCTTCAAACTGCAGCAGCTTACAGAGATGAAAAAAAAGCATTACTATAAAGTTTTAATATTTGTTTAGACAATACATTTTAAGTCACTTAATGTAGCATCTAACCGAGTTAACAGCAGTGCAGGTATTGCCGACAACAACAGTGTAGCCAGCAGTGGTTAGATGCGAGGTGAGGAGTTTCAGGGCAAACTGATGATCTGAAGGAGGTTGGCCAGAAGGATACAGAGGATACAGTGACAGCGAGTGCAGCCTCAGAGATACCAGCACCCAGCACAGCTCCTGCAAGTGTTGCTTCACTGCTTCACCTATCTTGTGTAGGGTGCTCTGCTCAATTAAAAAAAACATTGATACGCACTCAAAATGTAGGACTGTTAAATTACATCTCGACAGGATAATAATTCAAGTCTCTCTATTGAGTGGTCAAAATAACACATCGGGACTATATGAAACAATGAATGCCAATTTAATGTAAAAGTAAATGGGTTCCAACTGATCCAAGATCAGTTTTTACTGCAAAACTTTCATGTATCACAAGAAGCAAAGTATTACAGTAATAATATAAATTGTGTAAACTGCTTGGCTGATTCAAGTATCTGACTAGTGTATAATGAAGGAGTTCTAAACAGACATTCCTTACGCCAGAGAGATAAATTCTTAATTTCCTGAGAATCCTCAGGAGATAAGAGCAAGTGAGGGAAGAGACTTGCAGTAGCTGCTTCTCCTCCTTGATGGACACCACCATTGACAAACAGTGAGGCACCAACACGTCTGCTTCCTCCTGCACCAAGAACCTGGTGTGAAAAAAGCATTCGTGCTTCTTCAGCCAGCAATAAAACTAAAGTACCTATTACCTATACATTAATACCTACAATTAGTAATAGTAATTAGTACAGATAGTAATTATACAATTTATATCACTTTCAAACTCAATTATTATCCAAAAAGCATTTAGAATTACCGAAGAGCCTGTATAATAATCCCATGTTGAGGTATAATCATGATTGTTGAACTGGGTTCTTCTGATGAGACATCTCTGCCTGATGATGGCTGGTTAACTTGAGCTAAGGTCACAGTGTGCTCAGTTACATAGCGAACAATTGACTGCAAGCGACTGCTTCCTTTTCTGTAACAAATACAAAAATGTTACATTGCTTCTAACAAGCTATTCAATCTAATCTAGCTACTCACAGTGGCACAGCCCTGTGAAACTCTTTGCATGCAGTAAATTTTACTTTGCACTATAAAATTATAAAGGATAGGCTAAATGGCCTGAGTGAGATAAATTGTACATTTTCAACATCACAGTGGAGTTCTGAGAAGGTTCAATTTCAACTAACCAGGATCTCATAAGGAACTTTGATTAAGTTACAATGTTCCAGGCAATGAAGTCAGCCATGTTAAGAGCTAAAACATAATTTTGATGCATGCATACAAAAACAAAAATGACTAATGGCTCATAAATTTCACTTGTACCATATTGAATTGCCATTTCAAAGAGATAGTAATGAAAACCTTTAATTGTAGCTTGGCAAGAAGTTAAAAATGAATTTTGTTCCAGAATCAATAATTTTAATCACTAAATCAGGACAAAAATAAGGTGTCTTTCTTTGAATTACTGTGAAATAAAATTTGAAGAAGTAATCATTACGTTTTATTACATTTATGTTGGTTTGGCATTGATTTTACAGTAATGAAGATGAAATGCAGCAAATAAATATCTAACTATACACCAATATCTTACAAATAGTTTCAAGACACACATGAATAATTCTCACTTTTGAGGCTTGGAGGTAGATAGGTGAAACTGATTTGTAGTAGTTACTTCAGCTGAATGCGGAGCAGAGCAAGAAGCATTGAAGTCTCTTTGTTGAGCAGGAAGATTTTGAGATTGTTCAGAACTTTGAGAGCAAGACTCATCACGATTCATTCCTATGTTATTATCTTTTTTGCTTGGTAGCTCATCCATAGAAGCTGATTGTCTTGTTGCTTGGTTATCGGTGTGTTGTAATTGTGAAGTTCTTGGAGGCTTAGATTCTCGTGTCCACACTTGCACAGTTTGAGGGCCAATAACATTATCCCACACACTCAAAATGAAGCAGTACACTATGTTGTTTTCATGAGGTAAGCATGGTAGAGGCAAACAAATTTGTTTGCATGAATGGGTGTCTAGGTTCTCTTGATCATTGTGAGAAGAAGACTTGATAAAGATAGAAGATGTTTCTTCTTGACCTGAGGCATTTGCTCTCAGTTCAGCTACCTTGCATGCTACATTATCACTCATGTTAACTTCAGCAATGGGTGCAGGTTGGGTACTTTCAGCTGCAGGAGGATCCATTACTTTCACTTCTGAAAAATGAAAAAATCATCAATATTCAAATTGTCTAGTGATTATTAGGTTCATACATTTATGAACAAGAACAAATATTTTGCTCCTAACTACTTTATTGAATTGACTACTGAACCTATATATACTTCAATAACTTCATTTTAATGAACTGAGTTGTGATATACCATATATAAATGATACCAATGCAATATTTTAATCTTACACCAAACTTAGTCAAATATACATTGTGATGAGTGATGCTGCTCCAAAAATTCATATAAATTTTAATGAACATCACGCTGATGAACATCACCCTTTTTAGTGCATTTTCTCTTTATAGAAAAAATGCAGTAGGTATTGTACTTGCCATGTCCGTCTGTCTGTCTGTCCATCTGTCCGTAACTTCACGTTTTTGTCAATTTCAAGAAGCAGGCATGCCTGTATCAAAGATACAATATCTCTAGTGACTAGCTCTAATGCACTGTACTAATTGCAATGAAAACTGATTTATGCTAGAGAAAATGCGCTCTCTGTCACTTACTGCTGTGAGTACTGAGTTATATTTTTTTAAACATGACCTAAAAAAGTACAATATTTTTATGTCACCACAGGGGAAAAAAGGATTTGGACTAAATAATAATTCTCTACTCATAATAATCCTTCATTTGATAGGACCAGAATAAACTACAAAAAGATACAGCAAGTATCTTTTAGATACTGGACTGTAATAGAATTAATTTTGCAATTGTTTCAATCAATTTTAGGTAATGGGATGAAAAAATGGGTTACAATGAAATGGAATAAAAAAGGCTACAATGAAGTGGAATGAAAAAAAAAACAGATTAAAATAAAATTATCTGAAAAAGCTGATTGCAATGTTATGTACCTAATGCCTAATGGGATGAAAAAAACTAGTTTCAAAAATTGGCCCATGACATAAGTTTTTACCTGCAATTTTCAGAAAATTGTGCCCATTGGCCATTGCCCAATATTGCAGAATGGCCCTTTTAAATTCTAACTATAAGTATTAAGTACACTACAACACTAGTCTACTGACAGTCTGACTAGGGTAAACGCGGTATATTCCGACACATTAAGGACGCATTGAGAAATGAAAAACTATAAAAAAAAACCGTATGCGTTATTGCAGTATTTCGACACGCAAATGTATGACGTCACCATTTCAACCATCAATGAACGCATGAAACTAAAACAAAGCTTAATATAAAGGAAAAGCTGGAGAGGTGACGGAATTACCTACGATGTCGGAATATACCGCGTTTACCCTAGTAAGATTAGATGCCAGAACAGGCGTTTTATCACATTATTATTATTTTTACATACACGATACAAAAGATATAGAATGAAATCTTTAGGTAGATCAGCCTGATTGAGCTGATCAGTAAATAAGAATAGAATTAGCTAAGTAGGCCTACTTTATGAAAATTCTTTCAATTGCTACTTTGTTTAGTTTGTTACTAGCCATGGTCAGGAAGATGTGCCAGGTGCGCGGGAATTTATTTTGTCATTTTAACGACCTGCGCAGTGCGCCGTACTTCGTTGGTAAAAAAATGTGCCGTGCGCCGTACTTTAGAAAGCTAAAATAGTTATACTATTTTAGTCGACAATATACGCAAGTATATTGACTACGCGAGTCGAACTGACAATAATAAAATGTAAGACATGTCCGGGTTATTTCTGACTCTTCCGGTTGTCCGCCTTGTCGGATACGGAACGTACGGTAATCGTAAACTGTGGCTGTTATACATACAAAATGTAAACAGACGGTGTTCAGTGTTGCCATATGACTTTGGAGAAAATTTCTTCTAAAATAAAGATGGCCGGGATTGCGCGAACACGTGCGCGAAGATAATCAATTTTCATTACATTGCGCCAACTGTGCACAGCAATAGCTAAAAAAAAGTGAAAATGCACGGGAAAATTCACCGAAAACATACATCATCCTGAGTGTGGGCTTACTAGGAAACAAATTCTGAACATCATGGTGTTTCTTATTGACTTGTTAATAAACTTGTTAAGTTGTCAGTTGTTACAAATTATATACAATACAGAGAAGATTGGCTTTCGGCAACACTCCCAGCCTGGCAGCCTCCCAGGGCCCGCCAGGGGCAGGGGCCAGCCACGTCCGCAACGGCAACGCCAACAGGCTTAATTTCATAAATTTGGCTATCGGTCCCAATTGCTTTCATTCTTTCAACAAGTTCAATCTCGTCCTACACTCACTGATTCACACCGGGTAACACACCCCAGTGACCCCACCGCCCACCGGGGCGGGGGCCCAGCCGCCCAGGCCCACCCCATTGACCCCAATAGGTACTTCCGAAATCAACAAAAAATGTTCGGCAATCTACAGTAAAGAAAAATGATATGGAACAAAGTCAGCTTAATTGTTAGCCTTAGGAGGCTCTGAACGGACCGCACGTTACGTTCAATTTCACCGCCTGCCGGCCCGTACATACACAACAAGCTGGAGGCAAGTGACACTGACAACTGACATCACGCATCACCACATCACCTCTCAGCGCCCAGCGGTCCAGCGGAAATGACCGAATCTTCTTTCTTTCTAATTTATTCTTATAGGAGCACTGGAAGCTAGTCCATAAAGCCCCTTGCCTAAACTGGGTTTAATTGGTACCTAACACTCTAACAGCTCTGAAAGTTAAAATCTGAAACAAATTTTTCTTACGTTTAGCTTTGGGCTTGGGCATTCTGCTGGTTTTTTGTACAAACAAGGTACTCCAAATAGGTGCCCGTCTCAAAATTAAGACTTTTTTCTATTTATTCACCGATTCAAAAATGTACTCACTCTATCACATACACACGTCCGTAGTCGACCCTATCAACTCCTCGATCCCTGTCCAACCAAATGACCGAATCACAGCTGATCGCGACGCTAATTGTCGCTTAAAGGTCTGAACGTTCTGTACACGACAAGGCAACTTTGTGCATTTTGACCAATGAATCAATTAAAGTGAAAACAGTTGAGACGAACTTAATATCTAAAAATATAATTTAAAATTCAACTTGAATGAAGTTCCTAAATTTTTAGGTAAAAGCGTTTGTTGGCATCGTAAAGGATTGACCATATGGACCTATTCTTTAAAATTGAAGAATTTCTTCAATCTCTTTGATTCCTCCTTGAATTTTGAAATGAAATCTATGTGATCATGCACAGCTATCATATTCATAGCTACAATCAAACTTGAGGTTTAAATACTTTATAACTGTTACGACGCTTTATTGATCCCCCTGCAATAGGCCATGGGCCTATTTCTTCAACGCCAAAACTTCTATTCTATTCCTTTAGGCACTTGATTAATCGAAATTTTACTCGAAAAAATACTCAAAATTTCATTTTAGAAGAAATATTAGAGAAACCTTCATTATCAACCGAAACTATGCTCTCTCAAATCTCAATAACATTCTACGCGGCACTCATAATCTCAAGTCGAAACATGTGGCGACTGGCGAGTCGTGTTTTAGACGTTGTTGAATGTTGAATCGAGGTGTAGCACGTGCTCATAGAATCGTATTGCAATTATCAATAGAGCTTTTTTTTTGTGCTAGTTTTGAAGCAAAAAAGTGATAAGCAATGTTCTTCCTTATTGGCTTGGGGTTGGGTGATCCAACTGATGTGGGTGTTTTTGGCCAACAGATTATCAAAAAATGTGAACGAGTTTATTTAGAAGCATATACTTCAATTTTAGTCAATGGAACTGAGCCTTCTCTGGTAAGAAATGAAAATACTAGGTACCTGCCGTCTTCCATCTAGGCTATCAATATCATTGATTATTGAATGTTAATGACCATCGTCACTGACATCACTAAACCAATGCAGTGCCAACTGCCAACAAAAGCAGCAATCAAATGCCAACAATTTGAATTTATTAGTAGGTACCGTATTAACTTTTAAGTACTTTTACTGTTTCAATTTTCAATCAAATTATACTTTTGTAGCATAGCATATGTAACAAACAATCACATTTAAAATAATTTTTCTGTTCTATCATCAGTATTCAGTGTCATGTAATTTTGGTACCTACCTATAAATACAACAATACAGTTCTGAACTTCAGGTTAGGCTATGAATAGAATGATAGGCCTTCCCGCCTTAATAGGTATCATGTAGGATGTAGCCTATGTCTAAAAATAGGATGTGCAAGTTTAGTTTTTTCATATGACTTGAAAGCACTTAGCCTATTTTTTGTTGCATTTTGAAATTTGAATTATTATGGATATGTTAATTAAGGTAGAACTTTGTAGCTATAAAATTAGTGGAGTCCATATTCCATAGGTAATGCTGTAAACAAACTACCTTCCTAAAATTTAACATGGAATAATAAATTGAATTGAGGGTGGAATTTTGAAGGACAAGGTTAAGAGGAACGTCTCGCCTAAAATTTATCTCAGTAATTTACAGAGGGATCAATCAGAAATTTGGTACACATGTGTAAACCCTAAAAGAAAACAGGTTTTATTCGTGTCAATTTTTCGAAAAAATTAAAAGAAAACGTGAAATTCTTAGGAAACGACCAAAAAGGGGCAGGGTAAACGCAGTATATTCCGACACATTAAGGACACATCGAGAAATGAAAAACTATAAAAAATAACCGTATGCGTTACTTATTTAAAAAGCGTATTTATTTAAAGGCCTTTTGAATGCAAACCTACCAAATCCCTATATTCCGACACTGTGTGTGGCAATATTTGGCACGTGGTGAGGCGTATTCCGTCCGCGCTTCAAATTCTACTGATACGTAATGCCGTCATCCACGTGTTTGAATTCCGTTTGCTGTGTGAGCTGTATTGGAATACAACACGGCTTTGAATTAGAACACTAATGAATATTGAACACTACTTAATTACGCTTTTAATTAACAACTATTAAGCTTTTAATTAAGCAAATTTTAATTTTTGTACACAGCTTGGAACGATCTGTGTGTGTCCAATTCAAGTTGTGACGGAATTAGTTTTCATGTGTCTAAATTCATTTTTCAACTTAATCATCTATTAATTAATTTATTTACCACTTGAAATCAGCAAATACAAGTATACTTAAAGGATTCCTAATATATTCACAGACGTACAGCAATCCCTTGATTAGCACGGTTTTGAATACCGCGGTTCTGATTAATGCGGAAAAAAAATTTGCGACCTACCCTTAATCTACGCGGTGCCAGTTTTGATTAGCACGACTTTTTTTTCACAATGCATCATTTTCCCGCCTCCAGCCAGAGGTGTTACGTTCGTAATAAAAGTGTTACTTCTTGCTTATTAGATCTTATGTTGTTACTTTTGTTACGACTTTTGGAAAAATTTGCCAAATGTTGTTACGTTATGAATTTCAGTCAATAATTCTTTAAATAAGGTCCCGTTCCGTAGGCACTCGTGCTAACTACAGAGTCGGTTTAACCGCGCCTTGTCTCATTCATAACTCGAATGATCGAGTTTGGCAACGTTCGCCGGTAAGTGCGCCATGCCGGTGCTCTAGCCCTTTAAGCCCTGGTATGACGAATTTGTCACACAGAAAATAAAAGCTTCTACCGAGAGTAATTACATGTTTGGATTCTAGCCGCAAGTGTGACAGTAGCGTCACATGTTGTGAACTTGTTCGAACGACGTTCGATGGAGTAGGCGCACCGCTACTGCCAGTACAACACAAAGACTGCGCGTGATCTGAAAAGTAATTCAGATTGTTTTTTCACTTTTGAAACATAATTCAGTGCGTAAAGGGCTAGTTACTCGTTAGCCTTCAACTGGTCAAGATTGCTGCCATATCTACTGCTCACTTTTATCAAACTAAATAATTTTCCTTTCCTTTGCTATTTTTGAGGATTCATTATAATTATTCCCATATATTCTTAAGTTTGATTAGCGCAGTTTTGCTTAACACGGTAAAACTCGGGGATTTATTAACCGCGTTAATCAAGGGATTGCTGTATCTAAAAGTCTCAAACCATAATATTCTTCCTATACAAACAGTTATTTACTATTTGGTAGAGCAAGGTCAACTGCCAAATTTGACACATTTTTTGATGATCTCACTGGGTAGCATGCATTGTCTCTCTTTGGATCTCAATATTTTCCCGCTAGATGGCCAAGACCTAGTGTTTTGGCAGTAGTTCGACGCGCAAATGTATGACGTCACCATTTCAACCATCAACGAACGCATGGAACTAAAACAAAGCTTAATATAAAGGAAAAACTAGAGAGGTGACACCGTGACGGAATTACCTATGATGTCGGAATATACCGCGTTTACCCTACCCTACTTTAGAAAACCTATCTCCTCCTAGGATTTTCAAGCTACAACATTGAGACACATATCATTTGATGTGTAAAGACCACATCTACAAAATTGTGTATAGGTTTTTTGAATTTCTCATTTTCGTGAGTGTGGGAGCATTTTGTCTGAAATTGTTTGAAATTTTCGATTTTACCTCCACTTTCCCCCCTTTTTTGCAACATTAAATCCGAACTCTAACGAACTTAGAAAAACCCATACACAGTTTTGTAGCTCTTTCATTTCCAAATCGAACGGTATATATATGTCTCATTGACGTAGCTTCAAAACTCTAGGAGGAGATAGGTTTTTCATGACAATAAGTGTGAATGTTTAGGAGAGAGCGACAAAGTCCCGCGCGCACCACAATATGCACTCAATGTAGCATAGATTCCAAACTAAACATTTCTGAAGCTTGATTCCATTCAAGGATGATGGGAGCAACTACATGCACATCTCTCCCTACAAAGCCCGGAGGCACACTGAGTCAGACCTCACAAAAACACTATATTTGTAGTGGTGGACAGCGAATTATCTCGTATCTAATTACTGAAAGAACTCCCTCCCCGCCCCCCTTTCATGAAGTGTCGTGTAAGTGAAAGTCGACGTACAGAGATGGTAGTGGTACCATTGGATAGGCCAGAAAGTCAGCGTTAAGATGAGACTAAACACATACCTGCAGCACAACTCAAGTACCTAGACACTATATTTAAAGAGCTCAGCAGCTAATTAGTTCCTATATAATTACTTAAAATCACTTCTTTTTTTGTTGGAATGGTGAGTGTGGAGGCCTTTAAAAAAAATTACTTAAAGAACTCCCCCACCCGCTCCCCTTCATGAAATGTCGTGAAATCATAAATAAACGTAGAGAGATGGCAGTGGTACCGTTGGATAGGGCAGAATGTCAGCTTTAAAATGAGTATAAAAACCGAAAAAGTGAAAATTTTCAATTTTAGGCGAGAAGCTCCCCTTAATTCATGCATGACAATGAACAAATGCACATATAGTGGAACAAAAAATCTAAAACTATATTTTATTCATAATTTTATGTTATTATAAAATCTGAAACTAAAGTCTGCTAAATTTTCAGAACTAATCAAGTTACTGGGCTGGATTGATCTTGAATATAGAATAAATTGGTTGAACATAGAGATCTTGGGGCCCTACAGCAGTCACATTACCATGTAATTCCTTATTTCCAGTACTATGACAGTAAATTTTTGTTAGTGCTAAGTGCTGCTAACAACCTATAGACGTGCAGGAAATTTGCTTCAATCTATATGTGTATGTTGTATGTAATTTACAGGATTTTTTGGAGCTGTTCAAACTCTTCACTGAAAAGTTTTCTGAGACTATTAAGTCAATAATAATTTTTTATTGTGTCCTAATTTACTATCCCTCATTTTCAGGAAACCTATTATGGGAGAAAAATCTTGATAGCTGACCGAGAACAAGTGGAAGTTGGAGCTGGAGACCTGCTGCAGTCGGCTGATGTGCAGGATGTTGCGCTGCTGGTGGTGGGAGACCCTCTCAGTGCCACAACTCATTCCGATCTCATGCTCAGAGCTCAAGCTTTGGGCATCCCAGTCCAGGTCAGAATTGAAGCATAATTTAAATTGCCAGCAATTATTCAACATTTTCACTTGAATAATGAAATTATTTAAAAAAAAACTTGATTACTATCTTAAACAATGGTATTTTCATCTCACTTCAGTAGCATTAGAAGTGTCAGTATTTCTCAGATAATATAAATATATTCAGAATAATTTCAGATGTAATAATATAATAGATGATTTTATTTTATCATTGGTGGAACTACCTTTTTGGAGATATCCTAGCCTAATAAATCTTTGAATTGCCATAACCACATCAAATGAAACAATGTCTTGTTACTATTACAAAATCAGGAGCTTTAATTGAGTTTGATTCTTATGTATTCTATTATACAAATTTATTTTTTTAACAATCATCTATTCACCACTGGTCATACTGTTATAATTTTACGATCAGCCAATGGTATTTTAATGTAACACGTTCTTTCATTCTAGCAAAATTAAAGATTAAACTATTGATTGATTTTGCATCATTTGCTGCTCTTTTTGATTAAAACATTTATCATGAAAATGTACTGCACTGGGAGTATTTATATATGTTCCTTATAATGCTAACCTATTGCAATAATTTTCTTCTCAGGTTTTAAGTAATGCTTCAGTGCTGACCTCTGCTGCAACAACTGGGCTCAAATTGGAGCGCCTTGGAGAAGTTGTGTCCATTCCATACTGGGAAGAAAACTGGCAGCCTGAAAGCTTTTATGACAAAATATGCACCAACCTCAAGCATGGCTTGCACACTCTTTGCCTTCTTGGTTTGTGAAATTGCCCATTTATAATGTCAAAGCTTGTTATTGAAAGCAATTTATGTAGCCATTTTTGATTTGACCACTGCATTTAATACTTGTCTGTGTAAGATCATGTCTGTGTCTATAACTGAAATTCCAATTTTTATCCTTTTTATTAGTACAATTTAATGAGCCCAATTTCAGAGCTTGTTACGAAAAATATTTTCACTCCTCCAGCATGCCAGACTCTCCATTTCTTTTTTTATTTTGTTGTGTTCCTACTTTAATGATTAACCAATCTTTTTTACCTAATTAAATGTAGACAATTCAAGACCTTTGAAATAAATAAATTATCTTCTAGTTTTCATCTGATCTCTAAATTTTTGTAGGTCTCAGAATTCTTCTGCGTTACCATATCGTTGTAAGTATATATACAGTATATACAAGTATAATCGATTTGAGTGTATATATAAATATAATGTAGCAGTGAATATTTTCAGGATGTTATCAATTGAAAGAATCGATTTATTTCTGATCATTTTTGCTTCATTTTATGTTATTTTTATTTTCTACTCTCAGACATTAAAGTCAAAGAGCAAACCGTTGAAAACATCATAAAGAACCGGAAATTGTTTGAACCTCCTCGCTTCATGCGCACCCACGAAGCTGCCAAGCAGCTGCTGGCCATCATAGAGAAGAGAGAGCAGCAGGATAATTCCTGTACAGAAGGCACACTCCGTCGTGACACTACCTGCATTGCCTGTGTTAGGCTGGGTACTGAGCGCCAAAAAAATCTCGTCATGACACTGCAAGGTGAAATATTTATTGCACTCTGGAGTATTGTCAACATTCAAATTTATGTTCTTAGACTTATACATAGGTATTTAGTTATTCAATTAACCGTCTCCGTTTTTCAGTTATCAGCCTATGTATTTATCAGATTTCTGGAATAAGAAAGGCACGATTCAATGAAGATGAAAATATTTGCCAAATGTAGTTTACGTATGTATCTGATTACCTTTATTTGACGGCTGGGTCAATGACTTATTTAATTAGGTTTTGCGCTTAAAACTTTGTATGAATTTTCTCAATTTCGAAATTTTCAGAATCAGCTGAAGCTGACCTAGGCGAGCCTTTGCACTCAATGGTGGTTTGTGCCCCCCTGAGCGACGCGGAGACACGTGACGCGGCTGCTCTGGCTTCCTGGTATCAAGGAGCCACAAAACCTGCGTCTTCTTGTGCTGGACGCCTCCATCTTATAGGAATGGGCTTAACAATCTCTGATATCACCGTTAAGGGTGTAGAAATTTTGCTCAAAACCAATCATGTGTTCCTTGACAAAGCATCTAGACAAATTTTGAACGTGTTGTTAGGCTCGAGGAGCATTCGAGAAATTTTCTCAGATGTTTTCAACCCTGATGAATTGGATCGTTTGGATGCTGCTTTTGATGTGAACAAACCAAGTGTGAGTGCGAGCGATTGTGAAGACGTTTTAGCATTACTCAAAAGCGGAGAGGATGTGACGATTATGATTTGGGGAGATCCTCTGGCCCTCACTGAATATACTTCTCTACTCACGCGGCTAGTAGATTGCAACATCCCATTTTCAGTCGTGCACAACGCGTCTCTAATTAATTCTGTGGCATCATGTGGGCTGCAGCTATATTCATTTGGGGAGGTCATCCGCCTTCCAGAGTCTGGATCAATTTATGACCCACACTCGTTACCTGATGTACCCGTGTTTTACAAGAAACTCATGAGCAACATTAGCGTTGGTTGGCACAGTTTGTGCATTTTGCATCGTGAGGGTAATGATAAATTGTCACAATGGACTCCGTGTGAAGTTGCTCGCCTATTGTTGAAACTTTCATCTGTCATCGAATCGTCCAAAATAGATGGTGCCTGTCGTGTTGTGATAGGCAAGATGCCGACACGTGGACAACCAATATATTATAACACCAACCTTCAGGATCTAGCTAATGCGGATATATTTCGTAGTGAGACAGCGTTGTACGCTCTTATCGTGTTGGGCCACACACACCCTCTTGAAGAAGAGTGCTTAGCTGCTCTGACTAAACCAATTTCTATCTCGTAGAATGCCCAGTAAACACGAGTTGAATTGGATTCCTTTGTATTTCTTACCGTTATTAGTTTTCTTGATATTGATGTATCTAAAAATAACAATAAATAGTATTTAATATAACATGAAGCTGGTATCCAAGTAATAATACCTACTTGTTAATATTGATATTTTCACGATCTATCCGTGTGATTTACAGAATATCTAGCCTTTTTTGCCCTCAACACGTTTGCAATTATGGCCAGTTTTTGTACAAATTTTATCATGTAGAAGAAAGAAAGTGGCAGCCTGTTGGAATAACATGTCGACAATGCTTCCATTTCATATTAAATATTTGCTGCGTTGCTATTGGCTAATTGTTGCCAACATCGTCAACGTTTTTGTCATCATAACTGAGGGTTTGCGTATTTTTCATGTAGCAAACGTCGCAAACAATACCTCGATCATAATCAAGTGGATAATTCTCCCAACTTGAGAGGCACAAGATCTCAATGGCATACGTGTTCAAGCTTTTGAGCAGCTATTAAGTCTGGAAGGACGTGAGCTATGAATCTTAATTGTCACCCGCAATCGCATACATCGTGCCCTAAATACGTGTGACTGCGCAAGTGAATTTTTTCAAACCCTTGTGAATGTTGTAAGATGGGGAAACTGCTTCAAAACAATATGAACAATAAAGTGTCTTGGGCAAAAAAGGCGCAATATACGAATAGAACAGGATTTTATTTCCGCAACTATGACAATTTTTCTTTTAGCGTTATTTCGTGATTCTATTGACTTCGGTGTTCTCGGCGGGGTTTGTTTCGCTTAGCTTAAGGTTCAAACTCTTGAGACGGTCAGTATTTCGAGTAACACAAAAGCCGATTTGTTATGTCATCAAAGAAGAATGTTGTGCGAGATTGGCTTCCTGAGCCTATGGGTTAATTTGCTAAGCTCTTTGAGGTCTCATTTGAGCCTACAGTACCTACGCGAGACGCCATTTTCAACACTCTTAAGACAGTGGTTCCCAAACTTTTTCAGGCTGGCGCCCCCTTTGGCTCCCTATTGAATTTCTAGCGCCCCCCACAGACATACGTACGCCTCTTTCCTGAAATTTAGTACGCTGCAATTTTAAAAGATAAAAGGTTAAACACAAATGTGTATTTCACAAATAGAACCCCATTTAGTGAACCAATATGTTTTTCACCTGTTTTAACTGTTTCAGCGCTAGAAACCTAGGACGTCGCGGGCGAATTTATGGCCGGACTCGTGGCCGATCTCACGACCAATCTCCAAATTCAAGTATCATCACGTAATATCTCCCAAACTAATGAACGCAGCTCTATGAAACGTGGAACACGTATTCATCAGAACCTAACGGTGATGTTTAGCTTGTAAACTTTTTTATTTTTACCTTCACTCGCGAGTTACGCGTAGCCTATTTTGCGAAACAGGCCGAAATTCACAGTGATCAAAGAATTTCTTCCAAACTATTGAACAGATTTGAACGAAATTTTGAATATACATTCCTAACTACCAAACGGTGATTTTTTATTTTATACATTTTTTCGATTTTACCTTCGTTTGAGAGTTTTTTTTTTCATTTCACCGTCATTCTTGATTTCACACTTCCTTTTATTCGCTCCGTATCGCAGGGTAATTTGTCACTGAAATTCGCGGCGATCAAGAAAGTTCTTCTAAACTACAGAACACATTTCAGCGAAACTTTGTATATAAATACCTAACCTCTCAACGGTGATGTTCAGCTTGTGACAATTTTTCTATTCTACTTTCGTTCGCGAGTTATACAGATATAGGAGGAACGACCGGCTTTTCTACCGGCCGGTTTAACCAAGAGCCTTACACGAATAGCCGTATAACTCGCAAACGAAGGCAAAACGAAAAAATTGTAAACATCACCGTTGCTGATTTTAGGTATTTAAATACTAAGTTTCGTTCAAATCTGTTCAGTAGTTCGGAAAAAATTTCTTGATTACTGCGAATTTTAAAATCACGATCACGAATAAAGGTGAAATGAAAAAAACTCGCAAACGAAGGCACAATCGAAAAATTTTTCACGAGCTAAACATTTCCGTTGGTAGTTAGGACTGTAAATTCAATATTTCGTTCGAATCTGTTCAGTAGTCTGGAAGAAATTACGTGATCACTGTGAGTTTCGGCCCGTATTGACATATAACTATGACAAAAACAAACGATGGCAAAATTCAAACAATTTTCACGACCAAAAACATTATCGTTAGGTCCTAATGAATACGAGTACCAAGTTTCATCGAACTAAGTTCATTAGTTTGAGATATTCCGTAATCATTGAATTTGGAAATTGGCCGTGAGTCCGGCCGTTAATTTGTCCGAGACGTGAACCCAGGAGAGGTTAAAAAAAACACATCCGTGTGAAAAAACCATCGCTGGGATTCATGTGCTGCACGTGTTGTGTACAAATCGTCAAACAAACGTTCGAACTTCTGACTTCGACTTCGGACTACCGCCCACTATCGCCCCCTAATGCCTTCTTCCTTACCGCCCCCCAAAATCTTTCCACCACCCCTAGGGGGGCGAAATCGCCCATATTGGGAACCACTGCTCTAAGACAATCATCAAACGCCAAAACAAACACTCTCTAATGGTCCTAACTACCGCACTTCTCTCCCTAAAGCGCGTCTCAGTAAACACTTTGTTAATTAATCGTTGGTGGTAGCTTAATTGCTGAGGAAGTTTGTTGGTGTAATGCTTAGACGCGATGACTTAAACAGGAGCAGAAAAAGGAGGCTTTGGAGCGATGTTGGTGTGTTATAAAAGGAGCAGACACTGAATCCTGTATGCCTGTCCTATATGAATTAGTCTTCTATATCTATTAATTGTATTGTACTTGTGCATGAGATCAATGAAGAAAACCGTTTCTGTTACAATGCAATTCAGCCTTAAGAATGCACTATTGTTATAACGTTAATCAACTTTATGAACGCTATTGTTATTACGTTAATCAACCTTAAGAACGCTCTATTGTAATAACGTTAACCTGCTTTTAAAATGACTATTTAACAGGATAATTTAACATGACTTTTTAACATGACTATTTAACAAGGCTATTTAACATGACTATTTAACATGACTATTTAACATGACTATTTAATATGACTATTTAACATGACTATTTAACATGACTTTTCAACATAACTATTTAACATTACTATTTAACATGGCTATTTAAAAGTCATACTTGACTATCTAGCTTTTTTAATGTCCACGAGTATATAAAGTGCATGACAGATATCCTGCTATATAAATGATCTTGTTTTTGCTGGCCCTTCCCATTGCAATAACAACTTACGATTCCGAAGTCGTTTCATCAGAAAAATGTTCATGATTACCAATCGGATTATTATAAGTAAGCGTGGCAACAAAGTTGAATATAAAAAATTATTGAAAGGCGGGAAATTGAGGAAGGATTGCGGGATTGATTGATTTAACGATTGGGAAGAACAATAATAGTGAACTACAGTATATGAATGAGATTGTGTGTCTCTCATTTAACTCATTCTAAATACTATCATCTTGCATAAATTCACTAATAAATGTGTAATAATTTACAAGTAAAAGTTTGAGAACATTCGCGCGATTTTGAAACTTCAGAATTTTGTGATATTTGATAATCCAGTTTGCGTATTATATATAATATATATGCATGTGTTGCCTTACGAAGTAATTTACAAGTAACAACACCAACCATTGCCTCATCATTAACGAGCCAATTACATCACCACTAACGAACCAATCACCTCACAACTAACGAACCAATCACCTCACAACTAACGAACCAATCACCTCACCACTAACGAACCAATCACCTCACAACTAACGAACCAATCACCTCACAACTAACGAACCAATCACCTCACCACTAACGAACCAATCACCTCACAACTAACGAACCAATCACCTCACAACTAACGAACCAATCACCTCACCACTAACGAACCAATCACCTCACAACTAACGAACCAATCACCTCACAACTAACGAACCAATCACCTCACCACTAACGAACCAATCACCTCACAACTAACGAACCAATCACCTCACAACTAACGAACCAATCACCTCACAACTAACGAACCAATCACCTCACAACTAACGAACCAATCACCTCACCACTAACGAACCAATCACCTCACCACCAACGAGCCAATCACCTCACCACTAACATTTAGTGCGCGCAGTAATAGGTTTGTGTTGCCGACAGTCACGCAGCAAAGCAGCCACAAAACTTAAGCCAGGCGCACGGCGCAGATCTCCAGCCAGCCAGGCGCGCGGCGCAGATCTCCAGCCAGCCAGGCGCGCGGCGCAGATCTCCAGCCAGCCAGGCGCGCGGCGCAGATCTCCAGCCAGCAAGGCGCGCGGCGCAGATCTCCAGCCAGCAAGGCGCGCGGCGCAGATCTCCAGCCAGCCAGGCGGGCGATGCAGATCTCCAGCCAGCTAGGCGCGCGGCGCAGATCTCCAGCCAGCAAGGCGCGCGGCGCAGATCTCCACAGTCAGCAAGGCGCGCGACGCAGATCTCCAGCCAGCCAGGCGCGCGGCGCAGATCTCCAGCCAGCCAGGCGGGCGGCGCAAATCTCCACAGTCAGCAAGGCGCGCGGCGCAGATCTCCAGCCAGCCAGGCGCGCGGCGCAGATCTCCGCAGTCAGGCGCGCGGCGCAGATCTCCAGCCAGCCAGGCGCACGGCGCAGATCTCCAGCCAGGCGGGCGGCGCAGATCTCCAGCCAGCCAGGCACGCGGCGCAGATCTCAGCCAGGCGCGCGGCGCAGATCTCCAGCCAGGCGCGCGGCGCAGATCTCCAGCCAGGCGCGCGGCGCAGATATCCAGCCAGGTGCGCGGCGCAGATCTCCAGCCAGGCGCGCGGCGCAGATCTCCAGCCAGCCAGGCGCGCGGCACAGATCTACAGCCAGGCGCGCGGCGCAGATCTCAGTCAGGCGCGCACATCATAAGCGTTAGGCCGCCGCCCCAAATGGAGATGACGTGTAACTCGATTACAACAACAAAAGCTGTGCCATCTCTTCACAGCTCGCTTTAGCTCCTTCAACTTCCCCCGGCCCTTCACTCTCGCAGGCCTCCCTAAAAATAATCATAATAATCTGCTTCTCATTGAGAACTTGGTTTGTTCGGGTCCACAATAGGCCAGCTCGAAGCGACGGACTTACAGCCAAACAAAAGCCAATTATACTCCTTTAAAAAGCTCAATTTTTAGCATCAATAATGTAGATCTCAGTTACAGAGTTAACTGCACACGATGAGCAGCTTTTTGTGTGAATTATTCCGAGTGCGATTGTAGACGTAAAGACATTAATCAGTACCTATTTCATTTATGCAGTTATCGATAAAAACTCTAAGAAGAATACAATTTAAAATACAAAATAAAATTTGATTTCAAATGTTTATTTTTCCCAATTCTGAAAATAATCAAATTCGTGAATTATGCAATTGGACTACAAGTTTAAGGTAATTTGTACAACTTTGTTTTCACAGATCCAAAAAAATTTTAATTTCCTTGTAGCTGTGGGGGCGGGGGCGCTGGGGGGGTCGAAGAGTGCATGGTTATTCTTTTGAGAACAGCAAACTTAATAATACGTTAGTGATAAGTTTAAGTACGTAATCCTTGAACTTGCTATGGCTGCTGCTTTTATGCTTCTGCCGTCAACAAGAACTTTAGTTTTGCGAGGCGGAAGCTCAGGGTCAATGTGATGAGAGGAATATAGAGAACAACCACCTCAACCACACGGTCTCTGTTACCGCTGAGACGGTCACATTAACCACTGCAATGGTCTCTGTAACAACTTTGATGATCAGTGCAATAGTTGAGATGTCATAACAACCACCGCGACGTTTACTGCTAACACTGCATTGGTCCCTGCCTTAATGTGGTACTCGATTGTGGTGATCTCTGCAACCACTGACTTGGCCACTGCAGCCATCGGATGTTGGTCCCTTATGTTGTCTCTGATGTTGGTCTCTGATGCTGTCTCTGATGTTGGTCTGATGTTGGTCTCTGATGTTGGTCCCTGATGTTGGTGTCTGATGTTGTCTCTGATATTGGTCCCTCATATTGGTCTCTGATGTGGGTCCCTGATGTTGGTGTCTGATGTGGGTCCCTGATGTTGGTGTCTGATGTTAGATCCTACGCAAAATAAATAATGCAAGACAATGCCGTGATAACATGTTTCCTACCCAAAAAATATTGTTGGCATTTGATTATATGGCACAGTTGAAACGCGAAAGATGTTTCAAACATGAAAAACAGTCGTTATTATTTAATTAATATTTAAGAACTATTTAAATTATATAAAACAAGTATTTAATTAATATTTACTTCAACCAAGACATTTTTCCAAGAAAAACATTTGTGGAAGCAATGATGTAAACGCGGCGATGATGGATATCGTCGTCTCCCGTTGAGCTGCGATGAACAGATGAGATGAACTCGGCGCACTTCAACACGCGCGGCTGTTGACTCTACAGCTGATGTGTCTTGCCTGGGTCCTCACTAACCGCCGCGTGAAGGTTCCTTCAATATATCTTTCTGTGTTGATGCACCGAGTAAACCTGGACATAATTCTGGGTTTGACTTGCGGATCACGACTCCAACGCACGATTTCAGAGTTAAACTAAAAAGCAAGGTGTCAGAGTAAGTCTACAGAGCAACGTGTCAGAGTAAGACTAAGGCACAAGACGTCAGAGCAGAGGACAACAAAATTTCACAGACACGCTCTAGCATGAAACGCAGTTTTTATACCTGAGTTCTGAGCCGATGTCTCCGAAGATGATTGAGGTTACAGGAGCTGTACGGACAACCACTTATGTATTATAATTCAATTCCTACAACATTTTTGACGCGAATATTGGGTAAAATTAAACCGGTGTCAGGAACTGACTTCTAACAGTGTCACTTGAATTAAATGTTGACCGATTCAGTCTTTTTATTCCGAGTTAGGAGACTTCAGGATTAGTCCAGAATAATGAAGACGTTTACTGCTTTGTCGTTGTTCCCTTTGAACGTCTGGAATGTGGATTCAGTTAATCTACGTTCTGTGGCAGACATTTCAAATAACTTTTTGAACATAAATGAACACCTACCGCTATCATTCATACTCAGTGTTAAAAAAATAATAGCTTGACACAAAAACATGAATATGAAATAAAAAATGACCGAAAATTTACCATAAAGAGGCTTGTACGCGATGTAACTTCTAAAACAAAAATACCTAAATTTTCTCGAGAACCATCAGCTTGGGCCTCTGTTCGGCACTCCTTCACAGACCTTTGCCGCGATAAGACCGTTAATATCTTTCTCTGACGTGTTCGTATGTATGACCAGTTACAGTTATTTTGTTTATTCTGTGTCACTTAGCAGTAATTAGAAGGACTCTGATCGGACGAAACTAAAGGTAAGAGTGTAGGACGTTGTGATTTAAAATCTTTATTTGTTGCGGAAATATTCCTCATACCACCGTTTCTTGCCAGTGGGCGGTCCTTAGGCCACTGCATCATGCGTTTTCTCAGTTCCACTTACTGTTTTTGCATCGTGTTTCTGTGAGACGCAGACTACTCGTTTAAGTAGTTCTTTGTATCAATTGCATGGACATTAATAAATATTATTTGAACTCAAGCTGGAAATGAAATTAAAATAGAAACTTTTTATATTTTCTCGTATACCTTTATCAGTCGGATTTCAGGAGTGAATTATTATTAAGTTTCAGCTTTGAGGCGGATTCCGTCTTACCAAATTGTAGATGAAATAATTGTAGCAGCCAATTGGTAACGAACCTCGTAATGGAATATTTTAACTCGCCAATTTTTCAGTTGTGTGGCAGGTTTAACCAGAACTGTCTATACGTCTACTTCCTTTGAAACTGAGTTGGAATAATTTATGCTCACAATGAAATCACTGACGTATTGTATAGTGTGCTTGATGATGGTTTCATAGAATGCTAATAAACATCATATACATTTATATATAAATAAATATTGGCCTGTTCGTTTTCTATAACTAATAATGAAACGAGCATTGAAACATGGAACAATCAACACACATTGTCAGCAAAGCTAAACATACCGAAATTCGAAAGGAATAAAAGTTTTTATTTTAATAGCGCGGCAATGAGTCTTGCCGCAATTTTCTTTATCTTCTTTTGTTAGTCTCGTGTGAAGTAAGGATTCGGCTATTACTCAGAACTAGCAGCAGTTTTTATCGTACGATTTCACTAATAAACAGAGCATGAAAGTAATTATGGCTACGCTCGTGAAGTTGTGGAATGAGTTTATATGGATTGTTTAAATTACTTGTTAGTGTATTAATGTTTACAAAAGTATTGATTGGGTCACTTCATTTGCTAGTTTAATATCATTTTACTATATTTTATTGATTAAGAAATGGCCTGCAATCGCCAAAATGCCGATTATGATTTGCTTGGTATCCTCGTACGGATAACTTACACCTTTTTAAAATACTTATTTAGATGTTTATTTACAACCCTCAATAGTATTTATGTGTGCATTATTATTTCGGTAATGTTCGGTGAGAACAGCTTCAGAGAAAATAAATATACATAGATGCTGAATCTGTAATCTATATAAAATAAATTACGGCTTCTGAACAACAGATATTGAAGTCATATCGTAAGATTTGATTAACTTATTAACATAATTATAGTGATGTCGGCGCTGAAGTGTAGGCCTGATGTGACCTGTCGCCGATTCTTTTCCTTTTCTTGCCATTTTTACAGAAAATCTAAAATCGTGTTATGTGACCGGGTTCATATATATCAGTGGTTCCCAAACTTTTTCAGGCTGGCGCCCCCCTTGGCTCCCTAGTGAATTTCTAGCGCCCCCACAGACATACGCCTCTTTCTTGAAATTTAGTACGCTGCAATTTTAAAGGATAAAGGTTCAATACAAATGTGTATTTCACAAATACATATAACGCCATTTAGTGAACAATATGCTTTTCAGCTGTTTTAACTGTTTCAGCACTATAGAAACCTAGGACGTCGGGGGCGAATTTAAGGCCGGACTCGTCGCCGGTCTCACGACCAATCTCCAAATTCAATTATCAAGTAATATCTCCCAAACTAATGAACGCAGCTCTATGAAACTTGGAACACGTATTCATCAGAATCTAGCGGTGATGTTTGGCTCGTATTTTTTTTTTTAATTTCACCTTCATTCGTGAGTTACGCGTATATTGCGAAACAGGCCGAAATCGGCAGTGATCAAAGAATTTCTTCCAAACCATTGAACAGATTTAAACGAAATTTTGAATATACATTCCTAACTACCCAACGGTGAATTTTTAGCTTATAAATTTTTTTCTATTTTACCTTCGTTTGCGAGTTTTTTTCATTTCACCGTCATCCTTGATTTCACACTTCCTTATATTCGGCCCGCATCGCCGGGTAATTCGTTGCGATCAAAAAAATTATTTAAACTACAGAACAGATTTCAACGAAACTTTGTATATTAATACCTAACCTCTCAAGGGTGATGTTTAGCTCGTGAAAATTTTTCTATTTTGCTTTCGTTCGCGAGTTATACAGATATAGGAGGAACGACCGGCTTTTCTACCGGTCGGTTTAACCAAGNCGCTCGCGAATTTGTACCGCTCTGTTTAATAATATCGTCAAAAATAACGCCATAATCGGTTCAGTTCAGTTGCCATATTGGAACGCCAGACTCAAACTGCGTTCGTAAATCTTCGCGTGTCATGATAGACATTCGTATAACCAGCAAGATTTTTGCGTTTCGCTTGTTGATTGCTCCTTGATCTTCGGTGTGACAAGTATTGTAATGAGCGACATTCTCGTGTTCCGTTTATGATTGCGTGTTTAGTTCCACACCAACGCACCCTGGTTTCTAATTTAATAGTATTGTTATGTTCTTGAATACCAACACGTAATACGTTCCTAAAACCAACTAATACGTAATGATGGATGGTTTCACGTGATCTGAAATAAAAGTTGTAATAAATAAACGATTAGGCATTTATTGGTGTGAATTTGGCAGTCTAGACGGTTGAGCAGCAAAAAGTCGTTCATTTACACCTTTGATTTGGTGTATCGACACTTTTGAAATCTGCATTCGGACGGTGGGTCCACTACTTCAGTTGGCGAATAGATTGGCGATCTACCTATATTTTCTATTGCTCTGCATTTCCCTGCTCTCTTTTGTTATAGTAGGAATTAAATATTGGGATTTCAGAGTATTTATAGCAATGCTTGACCAAAATCCAAATTGACTTAAGGTATTTCTTACGTTACTTTTTAACTTGCTCTTGTGTTTGTTGGTAATAGATATTTGCTGGTTCATAGATAAGTACTCTTTTTCTTTCTATTTTATGGAACCGATGAGTTCGGTAATGTGTAAATATTTACGGTATCTCCTGTGCCAGGTAAGTATTTAAGTTAGACTGACGTTTGTATTTCAGAGCTGGGTTTTATGATGGACGCAGTTCGCGGTCGCCTCCTCGTAAGTAATGCAGCAAATCTCATATTTTCTCGCAATTATTATGCACGATTATTCTGTCAATTGTATGCATTATTACTATCATCTTATCATCATAGTATTGTGAACGAGGAACAGCGTTCACTAATTTATTCAATGTGCATTTTCTTGTGACGAAATTATTCTATTACGTCTGGCGAAGCCGCGCCAGTGACATGCGAGTCAGACCTATAGCAGTTGGAACTGTCTAGTACTAGGTCTGGGGCCGGATTATCAAAACTTCGTAACTTTTCGTACTTACGACAAAAAAGTTCTGTGGTACGTAAATACACCCTTATATTTGGCATTATCAAAACTTTCGTATGCAAGTCTTAGCTAAAAGCCTAAATTTTTTTCCAGCGCAAATTCTTCCCGCGCAAATGTTTTGATAATACCACCGCTAGTATTACGTTGTCATAGCAACGCCACTCGTAAGTCGACTTTGCGTACTTACGAAGTTTTGATAATACGGCTCCTGCAGGTCTGAGCGTCTGTGCGTGAGGTAGTCAGTCGTGTCCCGCCAGCCCTATAGTGAGGTTCATACCTGAACCCGCTCATCTCTGTTAACTCTCAGCATTCTTTGCTTAACGCTGGAGTTGTGGCTGTGCCGTGAGGACTTAGTCTTACCTGCTATTCGTTCGCCTATGCGAATTACGGTAACCTTAACTACGTGCATTAATGCTGTGCAATAGTAAATGGAATTGAACCAATTTGAACGTCTCTTAGAATAGTCATTTTAGTCGGAATTCGTGCTTCCCTTTACCATGTTTTACTGATTTTAAACAAAGTGATTGAATAAACTATTTTAAGTGTGCTTTGTCGTGATTAAAATCCATAGCCACTGAACCGGCTTTAACTGACGATGACTGGGAGAGTTGAACGGCATTGTAGGTTAGATCAATGAGCACAGTTGCCTGAAATTTATTCATATTGTCCTGGCCTATGAGCGGTGAATCCTGATAGTGAATTACAGGCCTAACGTTTAGATTGGCTTGTAGTAGCTCTAGCCGGTGACAGTATAATCGGATAGTATGCCGTAGGATAAACGTATACCACAACTTGTAGTTTATTAAATAATATAGGCATTTTTGTTAGCAGCAAAAGCTCAGCATTCCAATGAAGTGATATGGAATTACAAGATAATTTTATTTTGTGCAGGAAGCCATCATGGAAGTAGGGAGAAATCCCTGGCAAAGTCAATTAAGAAGGAAGCTGTACGTGAAGACAGGTCTTCGTTGATGTCGACTGTGAAGCGTGAGGCGGATGAGGATGAAGTTGATAGAAAAGTCGCTGCTTTCCTTAAGAGCCTTAAAAGCTCCACGGACGCCGTGAACCCGGAACGCCGACCCTCCGACAGCCGTTCAGGTGAAACAAGTGACCGCCGCCGTAGGTACTTGCGTGTGATCTTATGCTGCTTAACGCGTGCAGCGGCCAGTAGCAGAGGAGTCATTAATTGATGTTGTTCTGCTGTTTGAATAGTTTTGAATCATTCAAAACAATAGATCGAATTTTGGTATCATAAGTAACTTTAATATGCAGCTGTACGTGCAATACTAGTTGTTTTTACGTTTCAGGAAGCTTGTCCGGCAATGGTTTTGTTGGATAGTCTCTTAGTTATAATTTTCTCAAATTTACAAGGAATTCTTCATATTTTAGCAAGCCTTATTCATTTCGTTATTCAAATATTTCACAGAATTTGAAATATGCGAGTTCTAGTTGAAACTCGTGCGCAAAATTCCCGTATTTTCTTTGTTCAATGTTCAATGAATGGTACACTATAAAATATTAGATAATATGAAATCAACTTTCGCACAATTTTCATGAGATTGGCGAATTAATCTATAATATTGGATGTGTCGGGCAGTTTCGCGACTTTCGACGAGAGACCAGTCCGTGCAGGTGATCGGGCAAGATCGGATAGAAAAGATGCTTACCAAGCTCAACTTTATAGTGCAAACTACCACGCTTCCGGGTTTGTTGAAATTTTCTAGATAATAATATTGGATATTACTGTGTTATTTGTGACACTCAGAGCACTAGCGTTCGAGAGTCGATAGCTGAACTTAAAGCCTATCAACCTGCTGACAATCACTTTTATAAATCATTCAATAATTTGGAAGGCGCAACAACGTTTTACTTTATGTTCAATTTTCGCACACGTATCAAATCACTGCTGTGTACGTTATTAATTATAAATGGTACAGCTATTGCCTAACGCAATGGAGAGTTGGCTTACACGTTGGTGTGCTTATGTTGTACTTTTTGATAATTTTTGAATATTCAAATTAAATCAAATTTAAAATAACTAGATTTCCATAGTTTGTAATAACTACACCTTCCGTTTTGGCTCTAGTTACATTTTAAGGTGAGCCTGTGACCCCATGTTTTGAATTGAATTAGCTGAAGTAGAAAAGTTTGAACAGCGACCGAACTATGTATCAATGATTATTTATTCAATTAATATCCATCTTAGAGTGCCGTAATGAATATAAAGTTGCAAACAAATACTAATCTCTGTATTTCTAATTGAATTGACGCAAATCTTAGCCCTCTACCTACCGATGAAATCTACAGTTACAGTCACACACCAAGTTACTGACTGTAACTACGCTCACCGTCACACTGGCGGTGAGCGTTACTGGCGGGAAATCAAGTTGGCGCCGGTAAATAGTACCTACTATCTCTAGGTCTTTAGTGATAACCAGCATGTCACTAATTTTGACTGGCTTACTATGCTAGGCAGCGCAGTTGAGACGCCCGAGGATGTGAAGGCGTGCCTGCGCTACATGTTCAGCGTGGGTTCCCTGCTCTACCAAGCCCTGAGTGCGCGAGCCGAGAAGTCATCCGAGCCTGCGCAGCGTGAACGCAACTTACGGTTGAAAGAGGTATGTCAATCTATGGCGTTTATTATTATTTGAATTTCACGATGATATTTCATTTGATATTGTCTGCCGGGTATTATTATCATCAAAAATAGTTGAAATTTGGTAATCATCATTATCTGGTGTACTTTCGATTTTTATTAATGTATGCATATTCTTAGGAATCGAAAACTCAGATTTTGGGCTTTCATTACGTTGATCTTACATTGTTAATGTATACAATAAATGCTTTATTTATTTGTAATGCTTGAGGTGTAGCGCTTCACAAGATGTATCTTATTGCAGAACATCTCCAAGGCACAAGGCTGTGTCAAAAACACCTACGAAGAAGACTGGCGGAAACGCAACGCCGGTCCTTGCCTTGGTGATCTCATTGACGTTTGGGTGAGGGCCTGCAGCGGCAGCAACAGCAGGCCTGTCAAGACTGAGCACAAGGAACGAGCTGCCAGGTGAAACTTCACGTCATCCTAGTATGCTTATTTTTCTGAGCACAAGGAACGATCTGCCAAGTGAAACTTAACGTCATCCTAGTATGCTTATTTTTGTACGCGGTACTGGGGAATCATTGCTGTATGCTAGTTATTTAAAAACACTTTATTCTTTATAATCCCCTTCAGGGTATAAAATGTACGGGATATCCTTACTTATGCGCAAAGGTCTTCGGAAGAAAGAAAATCAACTGTTTTGCGCGAACTCTGGTGATAAAAAGTCAGATTATTATCTCTTCCAAATGACTCTCTAGCAGGTATATATTTTTTTTACTGATGCACGGAATTATATGGCAGAAAAGAAATGAACACTATATCTTATTGCATCTCTGGCGCCTAGCGTTGCTGATTTTCTCACGCCACGTTGATATTCTTCTCACGCTACGTTGATATTCTTCTCACGCTACGTTGCCATTCTTCTCACGCGACCATGGAAGTCGGAAAACCTGACGCAGTGATCAAAAATCACGCTTTATCCAGAAATGTGCAGATATTTTTCTACGATTCAGCGTAAATATTTACCCTGCAGTAAACTGTGGATTGAAGTTTTTAATGATAAGACAAATGACGTTATAGATAGTATAAATAAATCCTTACCAGACGGCTGAAAGTTCATGGGAGAACAAAATAAATGGTTTATTTCACGCGACAAAATAGTTTTCAGATCTTTTGTTTATAAGCTTGTGACATTAGTTTCCGAGAAAGGTAACCTAACTGAGATATGATCACGAATCAGTATTCATTAGTATGGCGTTGGAATCTTTGTCACTATAGTTTTAAGTTAGTGAATAAATAATCTTATAAATCTTGATTTTTTTTCAATGCTCACCCTATGCAGAAGAGTTAAATTTATGATATTATTATTTATGATATATTTGCAACTCAAGCCTTGATTCTCCCAGAGCTTTAAGCAAGAACTGCGAGCCTTCGAACAGGCTCTGCTCTTCCCTCCTAGTTTCTTCACAAATTAGGCTGGATTTTACTCCACTCGGTGAAACAGCCGTCGTAAATCTCACCTGTCAGTCCAGAAATGGTCACGGCAACATTGATTACCAGTAATCGAGGGGATATTGGTCACAAGTCATCGAAGAGCATCATGACCCGTACGAGCTGTATGTTGAGTAACTGTCAATTTTAAAATACAAATTTCTTAGTCTGCGAGCCCGCGATCAAAACGCATCAAGAACACATGGACATTGTACTAATTAGGTCATCGTTTATTGAATAAGCTGATATTTATGTATATTTATTTCCACAGTACGATAACCTATCATTTAGCCTAGGATAATGACTGATAAAATTTGATTCAAATGAGACATACAGGGACAACGACCTTAAATCGTAGCTGGAATGAAACAGCGTGGATGTCGAAGCGATCTAAGTTTTAATGAAACGTTAGTTGCAGCAATGCAACCGGAAAAATAGTAATACGCATTACTAAGTCCTATAATTTATATAATTATCATACAATAATGTTTTATATTAATTTATCATAGTGTCTGCACATTCAAGTTAACAGTAATGTGTAAAAAACCTTTAAATTTGTACTTGACAGCCATATGCATTAGAGCGCAACATAATACAGACGACTAAATTCACTTTGCGTGGCAAGGGTAGACGCCGCTAAATCAACTGCCGTGTAGGCGACTAAGGGAATATATTTACATTATACAAAAGGAATTGCCAACAAAATATGGCTAAAACCATGTGATCTACGAAGATCACGGAAATTAGGAGTTTGTTGAGATAGGAGCCTGCAGTGACAAGGTTGAAACCTCGCCAACGATCGCGTGAACGAAGAAACAGTCTGGAACCTAATTGATTGAATCCTCACCAGTATAGGTAAATAAAGATAAAAATTGTATATATTTGAAGAAGATATTAGGCATATATCGAGAAATATATGATAAATACATAGAAAATAAATACAGCTCCATCATCGACCTCCCCAGTCCCAATTCCACAGCTCTACGCCTGGCATCAATATAATTAAGAAATAAGTACAAAATTGTAATAAGGAAAGCTGCAACATCTTCATCATCTTGGACAAAATTGACTATATTTCAGTAATAAGTGAAATATTACAGGACAACTTCAAACAAGAACCAACCAATTAAAAAAGACCGCCGGCGCAAGAAAACTAACCTCGATTGTTGGGAGTTGTTCGCCAGGTTATCTCTACGGAAATGTTAAAAATCACAAACAGGAACAATCTCCTCCGGTCCATAAGTGCTCACGCTACCTCTTCAATCTCCAAGACAGGCCAAGAAATGGATGCTATAATAAAACCGTATATCCTGAAGAAATTTTCGCTTAGATCTAGAGACTTCTTGGCGAAACTTCGCAATCGGCGCCCCTCTGGTCTGCTCACTTCACTTAGCGTCAATAGTTTATTCACGAACGTCCCAACCGAACAAACTTTAGAAATAATAGTCAAACATGCCGACTCTAATGAAACTTTGCCGGCAAAATCAATCCATCAAAATATCCTACGTGATCTCCTCCGCCTATGTACGTACTTAAGATTTGCCTTTCCGGACACCAGACAACAGAATATACCAGCAAATTAACGGTGTAGCCAAGGGCAGTACTCATGGTCCAACATTCGCCGAATTCTACATGTGCGAGCCCAAAAACCGAGTGTTGTTATATATAGATGCACAGAATAAACCCGACCTTTACTGTCCATGTTGACGACCTCATCGTCATCGTTCGAGACGAAGATCGCATGATGGAGCTGCGCGTAGCTTTAGAACTCAATTGTTTTGACGTTACATTCAAAGTCACACCACACGTTACATTTCCTGGACATACTGATGCAAGATGATAATAATTCGTTCACCAAAGTTTATCGGCAACCTACAGACGTCGGAAAGGTCCTGAACGAATAAAGTAATATCTCCGGCGCTACAAAATCAGCACCAAATATACGTGCCCAAGTACATCGAGCGTTCAAAACTTTTACAACCGCTCGTGACTTTACAATTGCACTTCGGACCTACAAGCAAATTCTTGTCAACAACGGTTATGCGAACAAAACTATTGACACTGAAAAATCAAATTTTCGAGCACGTCAAAACCGAATCCACATCAAAAGACTGCGTTACCTGAATTTACAATCAAAACCAGATGAACATCAGTTATTAGACAAATGAAAGAGTCCTTAATTGAATTGTGCAAAATAAGATCACCTGCACAAAAGTAATTGACCAAATAAATGACTCCTAATTTACTAAAAAAACAGAAAATTAAGAATTTAATCATGAAAAATGATCCATGTAAAATGCAGGAGGCTCATAGCGAAACCATCACAACGCCTGCACCAGCTTCATCATGCGGTGCCCTGATACAACAAGCAGAGGCTCTCATCATCAAGGACGAGTCTCCAGCTATCAATTTGCAAACCACCGGATTCGTCAAGACATTGGAAACGCCGTATTCCAGTAAAATGTCATTTGGTAACCTGCTTTTCGATCTCTCAACGCCAGTAAGTAATTTCGTTCGGCTTATTGAAAAAAATTGTTAATAAAAAGCATGCTGTGGTCTTCAATCAAACCTGCATAAATGAAGAACTTCTGCCTAACTACACTGCTATCGAGAAATGTGAATTTGTCAAAACTTCATCGCTAGGTTTATGCTTTCGTTGTCTAACAGGTCAACCGAAATTTATTATTCTTATACAGGCTTCACAAAAAATAGTTTATGTGCAAAACAAACCTTACGAAGGCTAATGAAGATATGACTGATTTCGGGAGGATTTCATCCTGGCAAACAAAATGAATGTTAGAAACAAATTTTACCTGAAATAAGGCGTGTAACAATTGTGCAGGAATTAAGTTGCAGGCTTCATTACCTGACGACACGGAAATCGATTCTAATTTAATAGAAACAACTAGTATATATGTACATTGTTATTCAGTATTAGCTTCGTTCCACATGGTCCTGTTGGACGCAACACGCCTCTGCTTGCCTCCTGGAACTGTGACGACTCCTTGTGTGGTGTAAACTTTGATGGGCCCATCGAACTGGAACGACCGAGATAACAGGGCGTTGTTGTCTTCTTGCGAGGTGCCGCACGATAACAAATCATTGTCGTGTCCGTGTTGAGACCCTACAACACCTGACACGCAACTTATACCTTGAATTTCCCCGCCAACGGTTCTTACGTTTTGCAACTTGAGTTCATCTTGGTCAAGATCGTCCTCGTCATCAAGCTGGAGTTGAAAAGTGCTCGTCTGGACGCCGAGTGGATTTGCTGTGGGAGATTCGACATCCTCTGCCTCAGGAGCGTTGTCACTCAACTCATAGTGCACTCCGTCGCACTTGACATGGAAGGCTTCAGGACGGACTTTCAGCACCTGGCCTTGAATAGAAGCCAGGAAGGAACTTCGGTCTGAGCTCTGGATGAGATAGCGCGGCAAGCCATCGGTCTGGATGATATGCAGAGGCCTAGACACAACCTCAACTTCTTCATTATTCACTAGCTGAACTTCACCTTCGAGTTCTTCAGGGACAATTTTGAGTGATTCAGAGCTTTCATAAAATTCGTTCTCATCGGTTGCCATGGAATGATTTTGTGACCAAGGTTCATCAGCCACGCTTGGAGGGTTCACACGAACACAAGACTTGGGCTGAGACAAATTTTGGTCATGCTGCAAGAGGTGCGTCATGAGCATGGGCTTGCGCATGAAGCCTGTGTTACATAAGGTGCACTCGTAAGGCTTACGTTCTGAATGAATGAACTTGTGCGCGTTTCGGTTATCCCGCGAGTTAAATGCTTTACCACAAATTTCGCATTTGAAGGGTTTTTCACCAGTGTGAATTCGGAGGTGCTTCTTAAAATGTTCTGGATAAACAAATGCAGCACTACAAATTTCACATTTGTAGGGTCGTTCACCTGTGTGAACACTCATTTGATGACAGACTAACAACCTTCTTCTTTTAAAAGCCTTATCACAATCAGGACACTGATGCTTCTTTTCTTTGAGATGAGTTGCACGCTTGTGGCTTTGTAAATTACTTCTCTGGCTGAAAGTTGCTCCGCAAATTTCACACTGAAAGGGTTTTTCTCCGGTATGTATTCTCTCATGGTCTTCGACTTCGCCTTTACGAGCAAACATTTTATTACATAGTTTACAAGAATAATTTTTAACGCCAGTATGAATAACTTTGTGGAGTTCAAGACTTCTGACTGTAGCAAAAGCTTTTCCACAGACATCGCAGGGAAAGTTTTTACTGTCCTCATGCACATGCATGTGCTCCACGAGATGATGGTACGATAAAAACTCTTTCCTGCACACAATGCACCTGTGATTTCTTTCTCGGACGAGATGTGTTTTGTTGTGCACTTTAAGGGTATACCTCGACGAAAATCTCTTCTTACAATGGAAACATCTGAAAGGGCGACATCCCGTGTGATTATAGATGTGTTCTTGGAGAGCCACCTCGCTCCTGAACCTCCTGGGGCAGTGAGGACACATCACGGACTTGGCCAGATGATGACGTTTATGCTGACGAATTTGGCGCGCTAAACAGAAGCGTTTGTTGCACGAACCGCAGGTGTACCGGCGTTCTCCATTCGATAAATGTTCTTCCAAATGTAGGATGAGGTCAGATCGCTTCTGGAAAACGAGGCCTTGCGTATCCCCTGATGCATCTCCGGAGTAAACGGTTTGGAAGCACAGCTCGCATTCGTAGAGACGTTCTTGATGATTCTAGGTACAAGAGAAACAATAATGGGTTACTAATTGCATAAAGCTTAGCGCTAATTAGCCTTCAATGAATCAATCGAATCTATAGGAACAGATATGTAACAGACCCACAAGATTTACCAAAAAATTTCACGTCTCTTTCGTCACCAAATTTGCATCAATATGGATAAATTGACAATAACTCCTATAGTTAATTCACCCTAAAAATGTTGCTAACAAATTTTTAAATGATAGCTATTTCCTTCGGAGAAAGACTGTTTTGAAGAAAGACTAAGAGGAAAATGTCAAAGTAAGAGGAAAACAGCTCACTTCAATGATATGTTGCTGCATGCTGCTGAAGCGTTTGGCAGCGCTGTTACAGTAATAGCAAAGGTAGCGTTGCCAGCACGTCTCGCCGGTCTCGTGGCCTGATGGGAGGATGGCAGCGAACATCGTTGCTGCGGTCATAGAACTGTCCAAACAGTCGTCCTGTAAACCAAAAACTGAATAATCTACCTGACAAATACTCAGATAGGAAACGAAGAGAAAAAGGAGAAGCAAAGGGAACGAACAACACAGTGAGAAAGCTCGTGCGCTTCCTAATCAAAACCCAAGTACGTGTTACCAGAGAGGATCTGAAAGGGAGCAAAGTACATGCGTTTAAGTACTCTAAGGGAATGTACGCCACCCAGCGTCCCGTTACAGTGCATTTAAGGAGTAAAAGTCACCCAGCGTCCCGTTACAGTGCATCTAAGGAGTAAAAGTCACCCAGCGTCCCGTTACAGTGCATCTAAGGAGTACAAGTCACCCAGCGTCCCGTTACAGTGCATTTAAGGAGTACAAGTCACCCAGCGTCCCGTTACAGTGCATCTAAGGAGTACAAGTCACCCAGCGTCCCGTTACAGTGCATTTAAGTAGTACTCACGGTCTCATTGGATGCTCTCAAGCCGGTTGCGTCCGACTCATCGAACACGTCGAGGCAGTCGAGTACGACGCTGTCGGCTGTTCTCGTTCTTACCTTCGTCCTCATCATCATCTGCATCGTCTTCGGTATCACCAGCCTCGTCACCATCATCTTCAAAATATTAATTCAATTAAAAATGTACAACAGTATTCATGCATTATAATCAAACATTTCTCCAATTCAAAGAAGAAGAAGGTAAAGTCTGTGGTGTCGTCGAGCCACAAAACGTTTCCTCCTACCTTAATACATCAAAAATTCGTACGTATTTCCGTTTTGATATGCAAGCCGGATGAGAAGGACGGGTTTTTTATGACTTCAACAATAAATTTCAAAAGAGACGTATCGACGATGTCACAATCTCCCATTTACACATATCATATTTCAGACAACCGTATATATCTGTACCACGTGAATATTCATTACCCCATGAGAGGAATACAATAATTCATGGATATTGATTATTTCTTTAGCACCCCGGAGAGACGAATTCAGAATACATACATTACACAGGCAAGTACTGACCACTGCAGTTAGCAAATAAATGAAGCTGATCAGCCGATGCAGAGGATAGTTGCCTCTCCGCACCCGTGACTTGAACCTGCACGAAAAGTTGCTTCAGTCAGTGATTGTGTTATATTATAACACAGAAGTAGTACGAGTTAGGATATATTACTGCACTTGGACTTGCAGGTAGGGTGGTATCGATGACTTCGTCTGAAATTCATCAATACCTACATTTTAATAAGATGAAATAATGAGTGCAAAGGCACCAGATGAGCCCATATCTCCATTCAGATTTGATTTGGGTGTGAAGAAACTATCGGGCGAGAAATTTTACCTTGACCGACTCAATTTTGTTGCAGCGTGCACATCACGTACTTCATAACTGTCGACATTTACCGTTGAATTAATTAAGAACTATAGAAGCAACAGGGAGATTCAAAACTGTCGCTCGTTTCGTCCAATTTAGATCTAGAAACGATCAACAGCAGCAAGGTAGCGAGAATCACTGATAGGTAGTCAAAGAAGCCTAAGCAATGAACGCACAATTGCTGGGCTGGTGGTGAGGAGTTGATGGTCATTTCGACTCTGTCAAGTTGTCCATCCGTCTCTTGCCAGCCTTCAAACTGCACCGCGGGCTCGTTCTTGACGCTCAGCTTCATGTGAGATGAGCGACCGCGACTCTTGCCACGACCTCGTCCCCGGCCGCGGCCTCTATACCTCGTTTTCCGTCTGAAAATATAATTTTCCATAAGCAACAGAAGGGAAAAAATTTTCCAATAAGCCTTTTTCTCATCAACAAGATATTGATCGATCATTATTTTCGACGAGTTTAATCAGTCTATATAAGGATAATTAGACAGGATACCGTTCATGTATGGGTCTTCTTTCAACTCAATCTCCGTGAAAAATTACAACTCCGAGTTGGTTCAATTGGCAGCTCATCTAGACCAAAAGCAGTTACATTCTAGCGGTTGTTTGAGTGAGGCTAAATAAATACTTGGAATAATGGCTCACATGAAACCAAATCTCAATTTTATGCCGGTTTAGAGCATTGTCACAGTTCAAATTACCTGTAGTCTTAACTGACAGAGCCTATTGCATCAATATCATGAATTCATAGAAGATCTCTAACATCTCCTTTAAAAAGATATGACTACAATAATTTATTACCTAGAAGATTATTTTTTCAACATTGGTAGAATTTACCGTAAAATTCACAGAAATTCTATGTCATGAGATATGAGTAAATTCAGTCAAAAACGATTTAATATGAATGCCAGTCGTCATGTCGATGAAATTAGGCCTTACAAATGAATAAGAGGAAAGCCTGTCACCAAATATGTTCTGTGTTCAGAAAAATGAACGGGTCATATTGTTCATATAGAGCCACTGTGGAAAAAGCATAGAATAAACTCACCTTGTCGCGCCATATAAAGCTTGAACTCAGTATCCCCGTTAACTAGATCAGAGTCTTCTTCCTCTTCTTTGATTATGAACTCTTGTTTTGGTTTCAACAGTGGCAGATCACAGTCAGGTGTTGATACTGTGACCGTTGATTTGTAGCCATTATGTGGGGTAGGCCTGTCGACTTCACTCAAGCGTTCAGAGCTCAACAGTTTACGATGACTGTTGAACTTCATGTTCATTTATTGGAAATTATGAAAAAATTATTAGAATTTGAATTGATTTTCACTGGATATCAAATGTTCATGAAATCACTATATACAGTTACAGAAAATTCCAGTGTATTTCAACTTTGACGGCTCATAAATTGAAATAAGTGTAAACATACGGTACGGTAAATAATTAATGAAGAATGAAGGCGAAAAAAATTTTTTTTCTGGTCCATAAAGAGTAACTTTAAATCAATGGTATAAAATAATATATTTGTAGCGATAGTAATGGTGAATCTAGCAGCTACATTGATGGTAATATTCTTGTTAAAATTAATGATTTTTGATACCGATATTGTTGCCTATTTTTTGGTACAAATATTTCTGATGACGAAAATGGTGAAATCGTTAGAGATATTAATATCTTAGACTTATCGACATAAGAAGGAAAGAAGCTTTTCTTTCAATTGAAGATCCGGCAGTAAAATTACAGTAGTACTTTGCCACCACTGGCCTATGCTTACACAGTTAATTCCATAATAATACGGTTATACACATTCAAACGAGAATACATGGACTATTCTATTGCTTACAAGCTTCACATCTAACCAATTATAGGCACACAAGCTGGTGTGACGGAACCCATGTTTTATGAACTGTTTTTCTTGAAGAGCAATGCTTTGTTTCTGGATAAACTCAATGTATTCAACTTTAGTCTAAGTAATGCGTAGCCAATCTTTGACATATTTTGTCAAAGGACTTAGATTATAATGCGATAATCAAAATAGATTACTGTTTTTTCGTAAATAAGCTCACACCATCTTGTGTGAGCAAGCTGGACACCTTCCAGCTATGTTCTGTAAAAAGTCAATTAGGATATATATATCTCATGTAATAAGGTTGGCAAAAGGTAAAAAGTTTTATTACTGTGATTCTATTATGTAATATTACTCCTCGTCGCACTTTGGAAATGATTTTAGTTAATGTTTCTTTTGTCTATAGGTCAGTGGTTCCCAACCTTTTTCAGGCTGGCGCCCCCAACAGACACAAATAAAATCATGCGTCTTTTTCTATTAAATTTAGTACGCTGCAATTTTAAAAGATTAAGGTTAAACACAAACGTGTATTTCACAAATAGAACCCCATTTAGTGAACCAATATGTTTTTTATCTGTTTTAACTGTTACAGCACTAGAAACCTAGGACGTCTCGGGCAAATTTACTGCCCGGACTCGTGGCCGGTCTCACGACCAATCTCCAAATTCAATTATCAAGTAATATCTCCCAAACTAATGAACGCAGCTCAATGAAATTTGGAACATGTATTCATCAGAACTTAAAGGTGATGTTTAGCATGCGAAAATTTTTTAAATATTACCTTCATTCGTGAGTTATATTGCGATACAGGCCGAAATTCGCAGTGATCAAAGAATTTCTTCCAAACTACCGAACAGATTTGAACGAAATTTTGAATATACATTCCTAACTACCAAATGGTGTTTTTTATATTAAAAGAAATTATTTTACCTTCGTTAGCGAATTTTTTTTTTTCATTTCACCGTCATTCTTGTTTTCACACTTCCTTATTGGCTCACACGCATAGCCGTATAACTCGCAAATGAAGGCAAAACGAAAAAATTGTAACGAGCTAAACATCACCGTTGCTGCGGTTAGGTATTAAAACACTAAATTTCGTTCAAACCTTTTCAGTAGCTTGGAAGAAATTTCTTGATTACTGCGAATTTAAGCACGTATTGCTGTTTAAATCACGAATGAAACTCGCGAACGAAGGCACAATCGAAAAAATTTCACGATCTAAACATCACCGTTCGGTAGTTAGGACTGTAAATTCAAAATTTCGTTCGCATCTGTTCAGTAGTTTGGAAGAAATTCCTTGATCACTGTGAAATTCGGCCCGTATTGTCACATAACTTTGGCAAAAGCAATTGAAGGCAAAATTCAAAAAATTTTCACGAGCTTTACATTACCGTTAGATCCCAATGAATACGTGTACAAAGTTTCATCGAGTTAAGTTCATTAGTTTGAAAGATATTCCTTGATCATTGAATTTGGAAATTGACCGTGAGTCCGGCCGTTAATTTGTCCGAGACGTAAACCCAGGAGAGGCTAAAAAAAAACACATCCGTGTGAAAAAACCATCGCTGGGATTCATGTGCTGCACGTGTTGTGTACAAATCGTCAAACAAACGTTCGAACTTCCGACTTCGGACTACCGCCCCCTAATGCCTTCTTCTTCCTTACCGCCCCCCAAAATCTTTCCACCGCCCCTAGGGGGCGATATCACCCACGTTGGGAACCACTGCTCTAAGACAATCATCATACGCCCGTTATCTCAAACGTGGCTCACAAGGTGGGGTTCTCCGTTTACGCATTAGCAAATAATTTTTTTTGTAAATTCTACTTGGTTTTGTACACAAAACTCAGACGAATTATGCCTTTGAAGATTTGTCATACTCATACAATGGCTACTCTTATCACGATACTTTAACATGAACAAGAACCGGTTTACAATTCATGTTATATTCGTCTCGTAGCAGAGCGAAACGAAAAGATCCAGCTCACTAAATTGAAGGAGGTTGACTCGAGACGTGTAAGCGTGAGGTTGTGCTAACACTCACCTCTGTCTTATTCCGCCGAAGAAGTCGGTATGATAAAGCCGAAGAAGTCCTGATGATAATGCAGCTATAAATATCAGACTTATATAGCTTGGTCAGCAGCCGAAATCGAGAAAATATGTCGAAAGTTTGGCATAGACGAGAAACCCGTTTCCCTTGCTTCTCACACTCACGTGCGAGCTTCCAAGCTTCAAAGGTCTCCTACCGTGGCAGCTGAGTGGTATATGGTCTACCACCTTGGAATCGATGCTGGCAATCTGTGACTACCCTGACATGTAAGAGTATACTGATAAATTATTAGGAAATAATGTTTTGAAATTAAACTAGGTAGCTTGTTGCTAAGCGTTGCATCCCACTTTTTGGATCGAACAATGCAAATATTTGTTCATAGGTGCTTTAACATGAACTGCTAAAACTCATTGAAATGAATTTTGATCGATTACAAATTGACTTGTATCGCATAAAATTATACCGAAACACAAATATTTTGCAGATCGATATCTAGAAGACGCTGCTACGGAGCACGGATACACGTATACAATCATTACAATGGCCGCCTAAGGCTAAGGGGCTGCCGGATATTTTGTTGTGATCTGTCCAATCGAAGTAAGAACAAAAGTCACTCTGGCAACTAAATGAACTAAACTACTCCATTCTGTCGTGAGGCTACATTGAACAAGTCTTTAGGGCTCCCACAAATCGCCAAAATAAAGAAAAAATATAACTCAGTAGGTCACTGACATTTTGACACTGAGAAAGCGCATTTTGATTTTCGCGTCGACCAAAACTTCAGGTCACGGACGGACGGACAGACGGGTCACGGACGTACAGACAGACAGACAGACATGGCGAGCACAATAGTGCATTTTTCCATAAATGAGAAAATGCTTTAAAAAGAATATAGCTGAGTATTTTGCCAATCGATTCTTAGACCGCTTTATTTCGACCAATTCCTGGATTCCACCGTTCCATGCACTACCTACACCACAGCTACACTGCAGCACTTGCAAGTTGCACTTCATAGTAATTACTAATGATAGTATCGGCTCTCTGCTCACGTGGGATCACTGGGATGGTGGGCAACAATCAACATGGCTACCTACATCGCTCATCGCTCTATTCGCTCCATGTCCATGAAGATGAAGACATGAAGTGAGGCTATTGCTCAACCCATTTTGAAACGAAATGTTTGATAAGAAATCATGCAGTGCATGACACTGACTCAGACTGTAGCCTAAAATAGTCTCTATAGTATAATTAGACTAGCCCTGCAAAAATAACTTGTAGTCTTGCATATGACAAATGACACTTGCCTGATAACTAAGACTATTGACTAATGCATTCTCTTTTCAGTCAATTTTTTCAAATCTGTCTTTATAATCTTGCTATTCATTATATACCTAAATGTATTTGCCAGTGTACTTAATTTAATTTGAATGAAAGTTTAGACTAATTTTTGAAAGAAGAATTAATGTTAGTATTTAATTTTGACTCAATTGTGAGAACTTTTGTTTTGTAGTATGAAATATCATGAAATGAATGATGAACTTTGGACAGTTTGTCTTTGGCACTTTTGCAGCACAGGCAAGGAATCTGGCATCTGGCAATGCTGCAATCTGCTTTCCACAAATCCAGCTGAGCTAATCTGTAGAATTGTTGAAAATTTTCTAAAAATTATTGCAAAATGATTGTTTTAGGGGTGATTTTTGAAAATCATGGACAATATTGTCCTGCTTTTTCTAATTTTTCAGGGAGAACTTAGACCAATGCTGTGGGCCCATAGTGGTAAACCACAGCTTTTTTAGAATCAGTTCATTTTTAGTTTCCTCATTTACCCAAGATTTAAATCAATTTCTTATGTATGATACTGCTGGTGGTATGTGGTATCCAGGATACTTTACTGTCTTTACAGGTCTACTTATACTAGGTATACTCTATAGGACTCACAAATGAACTTGAGGGAGAGTCTAAAAAACTCTCTGCTTTGCCACTATCATCATGACTACCTGTGTCCTGTGCTGTTAACCCTTTACCGCCAAATTGGACTTTCAAGTCGCCTTTAGAAGAACACCTGTTTTTAAAGAATTTCATGTTTTCTTTCATTTTTTTCAAAAATTTCACACAAACAAAAAAGTCTTAGATTTATTTTTTACATATGTGTACCAAGTTTCAAAGTTATCTGTCTGTAAATAACCAAAATAAAATTTCCAATTTCCAATGGAAATTTCCAATTTCTTGTGGATATTTTATTTCAGTTATTTACAGACAGATCACTTTGAAACTTGGTACACATATGTAAAAAATAAATCTAAGACTTTTTTGTTGGTGTGAATTTTTTTAAAAAATGAAAGAAAACGTGAAATTCTTAGAAAATGGCCAAAAAGGGGGTACTGTAGAAATCTATCTCCTCCTAGGATTTTCAAGCTACAACATTGAGACGCATATTATTTGATGCGTAAGGACCATATCTATCGATTGGTCCTTGCTGTTTTTCGAAATTCTAATTTTTGTGGGTGGAGTGGGCATTTTTTGAAAATTTTTTGATTTTCCCCCACCCTTTCAATTTTCCTGTCCTTTTTTCAAAATATTTTCAAAACTATGACGAAATTGAAAAAAAGCTACAACCAAATCTTAAATGTGGAAGAACTCCCCCACCCCTAACCCTTTTGCTATCTGTCATCAAGGCATAAATCAACATACAGGGATGATTTTGGTACCGTTGGATAGGTCAGAATGTCAGCTTTAAGGCGAGACTAAAAACCAGAAAAGGAAAATTTGCAATTTTTGACCCAAAAAATCACGTGGTAAAAGATTAAAAGCCAAAATCAAAAGTGACAAAATAATCTCCTATCTACTATCAATACTGCTAACTCTGCCATGTGCCACTGCACTTGTTTATTTTCTCAGCCTGTAATATTATTGATCTATTTTGAAAATAAAACAGAGTAAAAAATTTCTAGTACAATTAAAACTACTTCATAATTATTATGTGGTACTGGGAATCAAACCCTTCAAATTGTATATACTTCTGGGTTCTGACTAGTATTGTATGGTTTTTATTGACAAGCAGAAAGTTAAATGCAATAGCTGCCATGTGGCAACTTGTGTGTCATTGAAGGTAATTGTTACCAAAACTTTACAATTGAGACATGAGACTCCAAAATTATTGAAATATATCATTTTGGTCCTGCTAAATCTTGGTAGTAAGAAGGAATTTCCCATTCATACACCTTAGCAGTTTAGCAGGTACCGTATGTAAGATATTATTCAACTTTCCTAGACCATGATGAAATTGAGATTTGCAGGTGCCAGATTTATTGTTGCAAAAGTGGCAAGCCAGAGATTTTTTAGAATCAGTTCATTTTTAATTTCCTCATCTACTCAATATTTCTATCAATTTCTTATGCATGATAATGCTGGTATCCAAGATACTTATAGGACTATATATAGGACTCAAAAATGAACTTGTGGAAAGGCAACAAAAAATTTTCTACGTGGCCTATGTGTCTGTCACCCAAACTGACTTCACTTTACCTGCTAAATGTTAATACAAAATGAATATTACTTGACAGTTATTCTGTCTGACAGAATTGCCAACCAAAATTGGGAAGTGGGCAGAAACCACCTCTAAAGATTCTCATGCCTGCAGACCATTTTACATGTTGCTTTGACCCTTGTTTAATTTCTCTAAAAAATTATTTTAAAAATGCATTTTAGCTGGCATTTTCCCATGCTTGCACACATTTTTTCTATTGTATACCTCACTTTTCACATGAATCTTTTTTAATAAATCTGCAAATTAAATTGTAGAATTTGAATTTTCTTGAAAAATTTTAATACTGAGGTTCCAATAAAATACATGCCTGAATAATGAGGGCTCCAATATGATATATTAGTGGGTAAGATAGTAATCATATCAATTCCCATTCTAATATAATTTTATATTTCAGGCATGGTTGACCATGGGATAGTCCTCTTCAGGGCTAAGGCTTCAGCTCCTTAATTAATCCTTACTCCAGAAAGGACATCTCCCAAACCTGAGAGTGCAAGTTTTGGGTACCCAATCTGCATTCATGTCTTTTATTTCTCATAATTGCTTTGTTTATAGGTTCTAATGCAACGGTGAATCAAAGGATTTCTCTTAGTTACTGAGTATCAAGGATCTTAGAAGGTAATTTAGTAAATGATTTTTGCAGTGCAAATTAGGCCTTTATCTATGTACAATTTGTTGCTTTGTAACAATTTAATATATACTTTTATTTCATGTTCTTCAAGTTTAATGTATTGACATTTTTGCAAAATTGTGCAACTTCCTGGATGGGACACACAACAGTGTTTAGATGTGCACCTGCTGAGGTGATATAGGTAGTGTTCCACACTAGATCAATTTGTGGTTGCCAACATGAGTTTTTTGCGTGCAAAGAGGCGTGGACTGCTCATACTCTTTGGCATCGGAGCTTGTGCTCTTGTTGTGGCACTATTCATAACTAGCAGTTCAGTTAGCTCTCCAAAGCCAGCCCTTAGTGAAAATGATCACAGCTCTCTCAATGAAGGAAGTCAGGAAACAATGAACGAACGGCACGGTAGTCGTCACAAGGCTTTTGAAGCAAGACTACTAGCCAATGTCAACAAAACAAAAGAGGTTCAGAGCTCAAAACAGCATGCCAGCCACAATACTCTTGGTCGTGAACCTGTCGGTATTATATTGGGAAAAAACTATGCCTCTGCTTGGGATCGAAAGCATCGCGAACGCGCGCAATCCTTACAGAAAGAAGTCATTAAAAACAACGCCATTTTTGACAATCAACTGAGTCACAAACTTGTTCATTTGGATTTGAAAGGAGCGCCACCTAAAATAAGCTATCTACGAGTTCTGATCCCGTATATGAAGGAGATGGGCGCCACTGGCCTCCTTATAGAGTATGAAGACTCTTTTCCATACTGGGGTCCTCTCGCATCTCTTGCTGCGCGTAATGCTTATACCCGTAAAGAAATTTCGGAAATTCTCGCCATTGCTAGGGGACTGCACATGGAAGTGATTCCTATAATTCAGTCAATTGGACACATGGAGAGTTTGCTAAAACTGAAGGAATTCCAAGATATGAGGGAGGTTCCAAACTATCCCCAGGTTATCTGCCCAACAAACAACAGAACAATACCTTTAATCAAATCTATCATTGATCAAATAACTGAGCTTCATCCTGGCCTGAACTGGCTGCATATCGGCGCTGATGAAGTCTTCAACATGGGCGAGTGTATGAGGTGCCAGGCTTTCATGGTAGCCAATGACTATGGCAAGAGTGAAATGTTCCTCTATCACATCGGAAAGATAGCCAAGTATGTAAAAGACGTGTACGACATCCAGCCTATCATTTGGGATGACGAGATTCGTAAGGCCGCTGCAAGCACCATAAAAAAGTCCGGCATAAAAGAGTATGTGGAGATCATGGTGTGGAAATATGATCCAGGGATCATGGCTGACCTGAGGATGGACGTTTGGGAAAAATACATTGAGTCTTTCGCGGGTGTTTGGATAGCAAGCGCTTTCAAAGGTGCCTCCAACCCCGACTCCTTCATCACCAATATTAGTGAGCGTCTCAACAACCACAAAGAGTGGATGGAGCTAGTGGACATGTACAAGAGCGTTATCCCGTTCCGTGGCATCACATTGACGGGCTGGCAACGGTTCGATCATTTCTCGGTGTTGTGCGAATTGTTGCCACAGGCAATCCCTTCTCTGGCGGTCAACCTCATGTACGTGACGCAGAGGCAGGCGGACCACACAGCCCTTAGCAAAGTCGGCCAGGCTCTCAACTGTAACTCTTATCTCAACTTGGATCTGAAGTACCTCGATTTCGTAAACAAGTGCAATTTCCCAGGTAGCAATTTCTATGAGATTGCTCAACGCCTCCATATTCTTCATAAAGATGTCGCTAAAATGTACGCAAACCCACATGTTAAAGGCTGGGTTTCCGAGTACAACATCCAGCATAACTTTGCAAGTCCGCAGCACGTTGAGCAAGGACTCCAAGACTTGGCTATGCTGCTGTTTGAGGTTCGCAAACTCAAAGTTGATGCTGAAAAAGTTTTAGCTGAAGTTTATGATGAGTATACAGTGCATGAATGGATAGAGCAAAACCTACTCAAATTGCTCAATGAACTCAGCACTTTGCACAAAACATGTCTGCGTCTTCTGTCCATAACTCATTGGCCGCGACGTCCATTAGAGGTGAGCCACGAAAAAGAACTCTAGTGGCTCACATAGATCGGAACAAGTTCTAGTCTTTTTTCATTTTCCCTTTCCGTAGCTTTACCATGACTTCATCTCAAAATAATTTCACCAAAGAATTGGATAGCATCTGCTTCAACTTTTCGGCGAGACGAGCTTTAGCTTACATCTTGCACCGTGTAATGAATTGTTTTAAGGTACTTTAAACTCGGGAATTAATGACACCGTGTGACAATTGTGGCTCATCTTTATTAATTGTTTAGTAAGCGCACATTTTCAATTTGATGATGACACTAGATTTTTGCACTCTTTACAAAATCTTAGTGTACGAGTTACTGCGTTCATTGAATATCTGGCGCGCAAAGTTGTTTATAGTGTGTGTTAATTTATTTTTTCCCCTACGAAAATATTGTTAAATGCTGTATGTGTGGCAGTTTTTCCATCTACTTTGGCCATCAATATCTGTTCAGTAACGTGCATAGATCTAGTCAGTTTGTATTAATTATTATCAGTTATGTTTTGTATTTGCCTGCAAGTTTTATTATCATATAGAATTATAGATCATCAAGCTTTCAACTCAATCTAGAACTTAGTGTTCGAAATTAGAGGACGGTGAACGCACTTGGCAATGATTTGGATGAAATTTTTTAGTCTTCTCATATATATTTGACTATTCTATTTTCACATATCTCTTTGTAACCTCGGATTTTTATAATCATTCTCTTGTATTTATGCGTACAATACTCGATACTTTAATCTCACTGCCCAACTGAACTCTTACTTCGAGTAATTACGTAGTATGTCTATCAATTTCAAAACCTTCACTCTTTTGTTGAGTGCACTCAGGAGGCTTACTGATAATTAATGAACATCGTGGAGCAAATGCATCATACGATAGAATAATTTCTGGTTCCTATGTAAGTTGCTCCAGGAATACATATGGACAAGAGAAAATCTGCCTCAAAACATTCTCAATGCGATGAAATATTGCAGCCGATGTGTTGAGATGCCGTCGTTCATTAGCAAAACTCTTTAATGATACTCAGCTAATTATTTTAATAGTTATCTTTAAGACTTGAGTCAAAAGTATCTCTCAATTTGATCTCTGTCATCGAGCAGCGTTATGTTAATGTGCTATGTTAATTGTTATGCTAATTCATGTGATATCCGTTGCTATCGATAAGTAACTATACCGCATATAGGTATCCTTAGCCCTCTACCGCCGTACTATGTCACTCTCCGGGAGCATAACTTTCAACTTGAATTATACGTAAGCTATTGATTGTAACAACCTGAGGACGTTTGTACGCAACAGAGAACATTCTGAAGTTGTACGCGGCAGCAACCATCAGTACAAGTCATTTTGCGCTCACTGGCAACGTATCTGTTTTGGGTAGGCTTGTGTGACAATTTTGCTCTGGTTAATCATGCAGCGGTAGTCCGGCGGTAGTAGAGGGATAATACCTTGTCTGGTGCCTCGTGACGTAGCGTTCTAGCATAGCTGAATTGCTCTGTAAATAATAATTATTACTTGAAGCAATTATCCGATCAAATCATTTGCGTTGTTTTCTAAAATGTATGTACCGTATATCCCATAAGACCGTGCTCATAATCTTATTGACCGTTTTGGTTGGACTGATTTGTTGTTATGGTATCTCAAGCCCAATAATTCCCGTAGGCACATCACTGTTGCGGTATCCTGGTTATGTTTCTTTCTGTGATAAACAATAAGTATAACAGAAGTAATAAAAGTATAATTATACAATTATGAAATGCTTGTCTTAATATTCCTTGTGGAGCTGAACAAAAATAGAGCGAGAAATCTTATTGAATTGAATATCAATGTCTTAGATACTTGCAGCCTAGGTGCTGCTGCAAAGAATGGATTGTATAATGCCATGCCACCTGTGGAGGAGGTGGAGCTGCCTCTCACGAGGTGTGAACATCGATCCACGAGGAAAATCGCGTTTCCTGACAAGGTTTTGCGTAGCACTCAGGCTACATGCTCATTGTAGTGCGGAAAGTAGAAATTGACGCGCCATTATGCGAACCATGAAATGTCTGGATGACGCAATTGATTAATGAAGAAAGAACTATACTCTTACCCGCAGCCATTCACTTACATATAATTTTCGAGCGCGATTAGGAAAATAATCTTGCACTATTTTTACACGTCTTATTTTGAATTCATTCAGGCGAGTAATAAATGCCATAGAATTTATAATCAGAGAGTGTAACAGAGGGGAAAAGTTTGTCTTCTTGAGATTTAAACATTACTAGATAACCCCCCTTTCAAATATCGGCAAATATCATTTGATCGTGAAATGAAGATGATTGCATCCTCGACAAGTATTTAACAAACTAATTAAATTGTATTTTAATTCCCAAGCAAAAAAGTTACACGACGCTTCAACGTAACACGCGTAGGAACTCAACTGATATTTTACATAATCACGCCATTTGTACTCGAGTTGACACTCGACTGAATTTACAAAAGCGCCATAAGTTATCAACTTATAACTTTAGTGTCAGGGACCACGTCGACTGTCGTGCTGTCGCTGTTGGCAGGCGTGGACGGCGTCCGCAGATTCCTGGTGAAGAAACTTGGACGCGGCTTCGGGACTTCAATGATAACACGGTCCTGGAATAATATCAAACTAATGAGCTTCAAACATCATTACCGAGAATCTTCAAAACTTTTAGGAAGGACACAAATTAATGAAATAGAGGACTTTCGAATCTTACAGGAATGGGTAGACTGAGATAATAATGAAAACAGATTTTAATTTACTTGTATTTAAAGTTAAAGTTTGCGGGAACAAACGGCAGCCTGCCATGAATTCCTCAACCAGTTTAATAGAATTTTGACACTTCTATAAATGTTGGCTAAACACAAAACTTGTTCGCCACTCGCGTAGAGTCCTAATTTTTTTTTCTTAACTCGAGACGTCGAGAGGAATTATTAAAACAATTTGAACAAAATAGGTTACTCATAGAAGCACTAACAATTGTTAGGTGCTCACAATGTCGTAGAATTTCCGGCGTGAATAGCTGAGACGTGATCCCGACAGCATTTTAAAAACTTTTCTAGGAACGCTTTGACCATAGCAATGCGTTTTGTGCTTAAAGGCCAAGACATTACTGATAAGAATCGCTCTCATTTAAAATTTTGCTGAAATACCGTACAAATAGCGGACAATTTTTCCTCTGTAATAAATGGATTTGGCTTAAAAAACGGTCAGTGATAGCTTGCTGGAGTTGCTAACTCTAAAATAAATTTGATAGAACGGCCGCTGTTAACGAGCTGCCGTCAGTAAACAAAGGGTAGTGACACTTACTGTTTCTCGTGGAGGCGTTTCACCCTTATACACCGCCAGTATCTCCTTTTCAATGGGGCTCAATCCGAACTTGTCCTTAACTCGTTCATACAGCGAGGCTGTCGTATCCTTCACTAGGGCGTAGCAAATGGCTGCACATAAGGTAAATGTATGATTGTTTCGACGTTATATAGCCTAAACGAGAATAAACATAATTGACGGAGCCAGGCAACTCATTACAATAATATGATTACATAATGTACTACGCACTGGATTTTATTAAAACATGATATTTACTAGACGGGGAGATGTTACGTAGCGTTAGCATCAGTAACATCAGGTGAGCATGATCACTCCCTGTTGCTCATCCGGGATAAAACATACAAAACTTTAACTTAGAGGAGGAGTTGGTCAAGCTAGGTTGTTCTACATTCACAGCTGCCCCAGCACCTAGCTTGGTGTCGTTTCAAGTTTCTATTGTATAATATTAAACCCTTGTTTAACTATCTTCTTCAGTTGAATTATTACAAATTGATTTCACAGTGTCACTATCACTGTCAGGATTTTAGGACTCTTTGGATGAGCTCTGCAAACACAAAATGAAATGTTGCAAGTCGTTACATGGTACTGCAACTAGAGTGGTAACTTTTGCAGGACGTCAACAGAAAATGCCTTTCCTGAAAGAAGTGAAGGTTGTTGAGTAGGAGTTACAGTGCCGTCATTGATGCAAGTTGAATATATATATTGTCTCTGGATTGAAGAACAATGATGAAACAGCATTCAAACAAGTTTATGAAGTACCGAAAGTGAGTTTATCATCCTCTTAAACACTTGTGCGACCGTTATTTTGAAAGAAAGTTGAGAACCTCATTGTCAATAAGCGTTATTCTTACAAGTTTTTTACCAGTGCAATTAATAATAACAGCGGTTTCAGCGTTTATTAGGCCACAGGCCTGTCGCTGATTCTCAACGTGGCAGAACATTCACAACTTGTTGCGGTCTTGAACTCACAACTCACTGCTCCAATTCTGTTTGCTTAACCGCCCGGCCTTCTTGCCGATTCTGACCAGAAACTGGCGCACAGAGCTGGGATCAAACCTGCACCTCTCTGCTCCAATCCCCATACTCTGAACTGTAACCACTGGGCCACCCTGCCCTGACCTAAAAACAATTAATAAAACAGCAAAATTCTCGTGAGGGTTTGTCTAAATTGAAAAAAATGCATCATGCACAGCAAAGATACCGTAGGTATTATAATGTCTCCCACAAAAAATCTTGAAGCTAACAAAATTTGAACTATTTGAGCCTGAAAGAAAGGCCACATATACAAGAATTTATTAGCATTAAATTCATTGTAACATAGGTAGGTAGCAACAAAAAGACTGGAGGACATGTCATTTCATGACTGTCAATAAACTATTGGAAAAATGGTTGTGAACTGAAATTTTAACAAATATATTCAAACATAATGCAGAAGTCTTAATCAAAAACGATTAAGACTTGATTAAGTATGACTTCACGTACGTATCGATGATACGCAGCGTCAGCGCCTGCTCGTCTATAACGTCAGCGCCCGCACGTCATACTATATATATTACATATATATATACTTTACTCAATTAAGCTAATTTAGGTCTCTAATTGCTAGTTTTTTATGATTGTATCTGAAATTGTTAGGCGAAAATAGCCTGCATGCCGAATTTCAGATCTCTAGAGCAATCAGAAGTGGGCTAATTTTCGTTGTCAATGTTAACAACGAACAAATCCACAAACAAACAAACGCCAAGCTAAGTTACGAAAAACGTGTTAATAAAATAGAATTATATGAATGAAAGGCAAACCAAATTATTGAACCAAAGCAAATGAAAATGAAAAATAATTTATTATTTTTTTTTTGTATCATAACTTAGCAGGGCAGACAAGGAATGTAATCAAAAACATAATGCAGAAGTTCGAGGAATAGATTAAATTCAGCTTCTATTTATGCTCTAATCACGGACTACTACTCACGACATAGTCTGCCAGGTTCATGTGGCCCACCACAATTGGTGCACATGAGAAGTTTCTTGACACAAAGTTGTTTATTAGCAGAATGTTTACGAGTGAGCCTCTTCTCTCGGCTGCGGCGCTTCTTCGGCACAGCCCAGAGAAAACCATCAAGTAATGTACTGTCATATTCATCACTCTTGGGGTACGGGATGGACAAGTGAGGCATGTGAAGGTCAGTGCCCACTAAGACCAGAGCACTGGGAGGTGGAGGACCTACGAGAAAATAGAAATCATCAACTGATGTCTAATTCAGCAACAAGGTTATTCCTCTGATGAATTTCATTATTTTTGTAAGGCTGATATATAGTTGAATAAAGTAGGTAATATTGAATGTGTATTATGCATAGATGTTAAGAATGCTAAGAATGCGGCGCAGTTGTTGCGAGACCGTGGGAAGCATCGATCATTACAACCCTCTCTTTGTATTTTCTTTGCCGTAACGCTTCCAAAAAAAGAGAACCTTATTCACGTGCCAAATCAAATGCCACTCGGCAGCCTACCTGACAAAACGATAAGTAATGAATACCGGTATCTTGAACCTGAACGTAACGTAAATTTGGTGGAGTAGATCACTCCGATTCACCCAACTTTAACAGATATGAGACGATAGGAAACGTCTCTCTCTATATATATATATATATAAATAATGTTTAAAAATCCCTATTTAATCATAGTTAGAATTAAGTAATGTGGCATTTATGCTACAAGGATTTCTCAGTATTCAAATTAAAACAGCTACCTATAACAAAAAAAGCTTGCACATACTGGAAAGGATTTCAGATAGAAATATACACACTACTGGTAGAAATTTCAATGATTAGTACAGATATAACAAACCTTGTAATAATATAATCAAGAATGGAAGTTATTTTAATTCAATTTAAAAACATGGTAGTCATGAAGACATACTTAAAATGGCACTGAATATTTTAAATTGACCATTATTTTTTCATGATTTAAACAAGAGAATTTATTGAAAACTTTAATATTTTTTACAAATAGTGTACTTACCATGCTGGTTAGATAACACTTTCACGAGACAGAAAAAATTATGTTCAAAACATCGTAATCTTTCTCCCAGGGCTAAATAGGCACGTGATAACATTTTAGGATGAAAAAGTAAATATTATAACTGGTTTTCTGAAATATAGGGCCAAAAAGAAATAATAATTGGTTCCATACAAATGATTTTGTCAAGTTAAATAAAGAAATCACATCTAGAATTCTCCCATGATACGATGATAGAAAGCACATTTGTACTTACAACTACTATTTTACCTAAAAACTTGCAGAAATACAATTAGCCAAGTTTTTAATATACCTAGTAGTTCTGTCTGATCATAGAAGAGTTAGTTCTATCCCAACATACAGACCAAATATTATGGATATCTTGCAGCTTCAGCATCAGCAATATATATTTATATAATTATGGGATCTCACCACTCAATCATGCTCTTTCAATAACAATTAAAAAATGAATTCATTTAGCAAGAATTAGCAATTTAGAGTTCTACAAGAATCTGGTGTGATCTAAAAATTTTGCTTCAAAAAAGGTTGTAGACTTCTTCATCTTTTGGACAGCATTGGAGTAACTTCAACGAAATTGAGCAGCCGTTCTTCCTGCCACCTGAGAAAAGCTTGCAACCAGACCAGGTCTCAAATTATTACAATCAAGCAACTTCATCTCAAAATTTGTGATAAATTCATTTGTGATAAATTCTGTGACACCCGTGACAACATCTCCTACAGTGCTGGAACCCACTACTTCCACCAGCATTGTTACCTTGCGCTGGACCAACATATCTGACCGACGATAGCTGAAGCCCTCATCTCTACTGATTGAACTCACTATCCACCTCATAACTACCAGATTTTTTGAACCTTGAGATTGTTTCAGAATTATTTCCCGGTTCCAAATTTTAGTGTTGTATCATATTTAAGTGTATCATATACTTATTTCTGGCAAAATTTCAGTATTCAATGCTTCCTATAACTTGAAAATCAATGTCGTCACATTCAAAATGTCATTAATAAATTAAATTACTTTCCTGAGCCTGCATTTTGATCAATCAACATCACCTGAAGAATATTGTTTGATACTGAAAATTTAAATCAATGAATTCTCTGGTCATCAACTACCTGTGTTTAGCAAGAAATGAATCATGCAGGTCCAAAAATGGCAGTAAAGCACTAGTTGTAGCTCAGCATATTGCGATGATATTGGCAAACCTGAGAATTTTTAGAAACAGTTCATTTTAAATTTCCTCATCTACTCAAGATTTATGTGTTATAATGCTGGTATTTATGCTACTTTGGTGGTCTTTTTATAGGACTCAATTCACTCAAACCTAACTGGAAGAAAAGGGATGTTAGACACAATAATTATGATTAATACCGGTATGTACACCTGTTCAACTGGCAAGGAAAACATTTCCCTTTAGCCTTTAGGGCAGTAAGCCAGTATAATACTTGATACTTGATAAGTTCAGTGTAAAAGGCCTTGCGGCCTGTTCACCACGCCTGGTTGGAGGGTTGCTTCTTGACTATTTGGCCTAGTTGGGTTGCTTCTTGACTACTTGTCGCATGCGTGGCTAGCAGTTAGTCTAGAAATGCCAAAAGGGGAGCTAATGACAGCATTCGGGGTCATACTGTTCTATGCGTGTTGCCCAGTGCTTGTCGAGCCTGATCTTGAAGGCGTTAATAGAGGGGGCAGTGACGACGCTGTCCGGCAGGCTGTTCCATATTGACACGACTCTGTAGGAGAAGTAGCCGGCTCTGACGTTCAGTCTGCAGCGGCCCTTGGCAAGTTTCAGGCTGTTCCCGTGGGTATCTCTGCCGTCATGAAGGTGCAGCTGGGGGCGGTAGAGCTTTTCCACCATTTCCAGAAATGCAAGATTCCCACCAGATGAATTACCTTCTATCTAATTATTAACAAAAGTGCACGATTGGACAACAAATTTCCAAATGTAATAAAAATGTGTCACGCCAGAGCCGCAAGATTTTAGAAACAAGCAGGAAAATTTTAATCCTGCTGTTCAAACTCTATGTCTATTGCATGCTTTATGAATGACAAAATTGTCACTAATTCTGCAAACTGTCTACAATATTAATTTTATCAAATTTAAACAGCAATGCAATGAAATCACAATAAAAAAACAAAATCTGTTATCTGTATGAACTTATGAAGCTTAAGGCAGAAAGCAAGAGATTGAAGGAAAGGAGTAACAATCAACTGAATCTCATTACTGAATTGGTGAATAGCAACAGCATGTCCACATCTCTATGATTTTAAAAACAATAGAGTGTCAAATTGTCAATCAAGTATTATGACTATTATCAAGCTGACTATCAAATGTAAATAGGCTACCTAGCTCAGGCTAGCTGTAGTGACTGCCTGTAGAGTGTAGATCAAACGTCAATTGTCATTGTTGTTACCACTCACCTGTTAATCAGACGTCATCATAGTGGCAAAGCAGAGAGTTTTTTAGACTCTTCCTCAAGTTCATTTTTGAGTCCTATAAGTAGACCAGTAAAGTATCTTGGATACCAAAATTACCATACATAAGAAATCTGTTAAAATCTTGAGTAAATGAGGAAATTAAAAATGTACTGATTCTAAAAAATCACTGGTTTGCCACTGGCACTGTGGACGTCATCAGCTGCGTTAAGCCATCAAGGTTGAGTGCCAAGTGATCAAACCCTCAAGGCGTCAACATGAAAGGAAAGTCTGATAGAATAGATAGCCTAGTACCTAAATCTGCCAGTCTGATAGAATAGATAGTACCTAAATCTGCCTGATGCTAAAGCCCAATTCCATTGCCAGTACAAAAATTAGTATGTTTGTTGGCCTGCAGGCACACAGCGGCTGACAGCGCATCAGTGCCTTTATGCTTTGGCTATCAAGCCTTTGTGGAACTGATGCCGTTACCGTGGTACGGTTACTACACAGCTACACTACGGTATAGCTTGCGTTGTTTCTAGCATGGTCTGCAAGTACTGCAACTGTCTGCAACTTTGTAGCTATGAGGCTTAGCTTATCCAACTATTTTTATACAAAGCGTATGCTACAAGCCGTACAAGGGCTAACAAGGCTAGTTCAAGATATAAATTTGCGGCCGACGACCCGACGTATGGCACATGCGCACCCCAATTTCTTTTCCTAATAAGAAGGGGAGGGCAGCCGTGCCCGTGGGTAACAAAATTGACTCGCAAACAGGCCCTGGGCCCAAGTTGCCCAACGCTAACCATCAGCATGCAATATCTACAGTGCCCTCAGGCCTCAGTGCCCTGGAATCTGGATGTACCCATGTAATGGATCATCATGATTCCTGCCTTCCGGATTCCGGAACGTAGCCTTCAACACTTCAAGCCGTCCGTATCTAGACCGAGGGTCGAACCAGCCCTCGGTCGAGCGGCCACTTATCGAAGGACGATAAATTTTGGAACAGAACTATGCTATCTGAAACGGTGAAACCTAACCTCAGATGCGGTGAACGTAAATTTACGTAATTTAACGATGCCTGGACTGGAAGTCATATTCGATCCGCGGCCTGGTGGTGCACGGCAGGTGGTGGTCAAGGCCGGAAGAGGTCAAAGCCGAGTGGTGCACGGCTGATTGGTGTAGGTCCGGAGAGAGCCAAGGCGTTCAATTCAGGGCTTATTGGTGCACAAAATTGGTGGTGCACGGCTGCGCTCCCCATGCAGGTGATAGAGGTAATTTATTTTCCGCTGGTGCGGAGAAATATCCGGAATCGACGACAAAAAATTATTCAAACATATATTTTGCTACAATTTTTCTACAATTGTAGCAACAATTTTTGTAGCTACAATTTTTCTGCTTAAAATTTGTCAATAATTCAGTTAAAGGCATATTATGTCCGATTTGATTCATAAACGTCATCCTTTATCACAATTAATGGATCCTTCAACAACCTAATGAATTTAAATTAAATGTTCATGCTATTTAGACAATCAAATTCATCCAGAATTAATCCAGATGTGGAAAGAAATTTATGTAAATTTATCTAATGACTTCATTAATTTTTGATGATAATTTATTATGTTTCTGCTATACCAATTCTCATTCGTTGTAATTAGCTTTCAGTTTTGTTAAATTTCAGGCGCCTTTGAATTCTCACTAAGTCACAATTTGATCAATGACATGACTCAACACTGACAAAAAAATAACATAAATAAACTCTTAAATTAAATACATGCTGACGAGGACGAAGTGACTTCAATTCGTGTTTATGAATTCTTCACGCGACATAAATCTCTTCTTTAACTTTGCAAGCACATTTTAAATGAATTTTTTTACCTAACTACTTTACCACAACTGAGCTAATTTTAATCTGTTTACACTTGAATGTTCCCTAATACATTATTGAAATTAATATTTAATCAATCTTTAGCTATTGGCGATACTCATAGAATTGTTATTTAGTTATCCGTCTATTCCACTTCGGAATACATTTTAAACGTAAAAACGGCACTATAAGAATAAAAATAATTGCCACTAGCCGCAATATACAAGATAATGAAATCAATTATCCAGTAAACAGAATTAAATTCTCATTATGTACACTTAAATTTATACTGGTATCGATTTTCTATCAGATACCGAATTAATTTTTCTATTAAAAGACAAATTTTTCGGACAAACTTGGGTACTTATACACGGACAAAGCATTAGGCGATATTTGTAACGGCAAGTGTTTTCCACTTCGAATATCGGGCTAAAAATGTAAAGATAAATTTAAATTATTTATATATAATTATACATTTCACCAAGGCGATTAAAAATTTGGGCTGAAAAAGAAAAGGAATTGCCCCAAAATTTGAAGTAAAATGAACTAGTCGCTACCATTATTTGCTACTACTTTCCTAATATACAAGTACTTAATTAATTACCCTCACAGCATTACTCACCTTCTAGTAATGTGATAACAACTATCTTCTCTATATGGCTATAAGGATAGTAAATAAGATTCCTCAGTTACCTCCATAATTTAATAAATTGATAACATAGCATAACATAACAACATATGCCGAGTTGGCCTGTTGAAAAAGTATATGAAGTTCAATCGTATTTCCATTCTATTCCAGATACCGTATATTGACTTATTGATATGAGGATCAATTTGTACATTTTGCCACAAACCGAAACAAAACTGCCACACACCGATTTATCAGTCGATTTTTTAATAAATGCTTCAGGGTTTTTATGATGACCTGAATGAATGGAATAAATAAAGTGATGCGAGGTTAATGACATTATCAATAATACTTCTTAATGTTATACGTAACACGTAACGTAATACGTAACAGCGTAACACGTAACATAAGCAATTTGTTTTTCTTGTGATTTGAAACATCGCATTGCACTGGTATCATTGTACTGGTATCAGTGCACTGGTATCATTGTACTGGTATCTTGTACTGGTATCAGTGCACTGGTATCATTGCACTGGTATCAGTGCACTGGTATCATTGTACTGGTATCTTGTACTGGTATCAATGTACTGGTATCATTGTACTGGTATAATCGTACTGGTATCATTGGACTGGTATCATTGTACAGGTATCATTGTACTGGTATCAATGCACTGGTATCTTGTACTGGTATCAGTGCACTGGTATCATTGCACTGGTATCACTGTACAGGTATCATTGCACTGGTATCATTATACTGGTATCATTGTACTGGTATCATTGTACTGGTATCAATGCACTGGTATCTTGTACTGGTATCAGTGCACTGGTATCATTGCACTGGTATCACTGTACTGGTATCATTGCAATGGTTTCATGGCACTGGTAATTCCACTGATTTGCCAATTTACTTTTACAAGAAATTCTCAGACGTGATTGCAAGGCCATGCTTGCAGCAAGGCAGTGCTTGCTAGCCCCCCGAGGCCTGAGCTCTCAGGACCTCTCGCCTGCAGTAATTGGAGTGCCCTCCTTGGTCCTCCTGAGGGTGATGATGGTTGCGGGACTCAGACCTTCTCTAAAACAAATGTATCCAGACGTGGTAATATTTAAATCTATCTACTGACTTCATTAAATTTTGGCGATAGTGTTTTACGTTTCTGCTGCACCAGTTCTCATTTGTTCTTATTAGTTAGTCAAAAAATATTACTAAAATATACTAATGTACACGATAATTCCTTCCATTCACCGCCCATCGGATAGAAGCTTCATTAACAGCTCAAACTGTCATGAACGTTAACGTTTTCATTTGAACTATACTATTAAAGTTTAGTTAAGTTTCAGGCGCATTTCAATTCTTTTTAAATCACAATTTGAACAATGACATGACTCAACAACGACATAATAACATAAATATACTCTTAAATTAAATACATGCTGACGAGTATGAAGTGACTTCAATTCGTGTCCATAAATTCTTCACGCGACGTAAATCCCTTCTTCAACTTAGCAAGCAAATTTTAAAAGACTTTTGTAATTACTTTCAATAACTAAGCTAATTTTAATCTGCTTACACTTAATTAAATGTTCGCTAATATATTACTTAAGTTAATCTTTAATCAATCCTTAGCTATTGGCGATATTCATAGAATTGTTATTTAGTTATCCGTCTCATGGTTGAACTATAAATGGGTTGACCCACGAGAAGTTCCTTCTTTCAGTTCAGCTTACTTGTTACGTCACGTAGATCGAGAAACGTAAACAAACCCATCATTCCCATGACGGATTGGTTGACTGGTTTGATCGCATTTCGGTGATTGGTTAATGCCCGTGACGTCACTGAGATCAGTGACGTCACTGGCGAACAAAAAGCTCCATCCGCAAAAATGAGCTTCTCATGGGTCAACCTTATACTAGTTTAACCATGATCCATCTATTCTACGACGGAATACATTTTAAACGTAAAAACGGCACTATAAGAATAAAAAAGGGACCCCTAGCAGCAATATACGATATAATGAAATCATGTATCCAGTAAAAAAATCAAATTCTTAATATGTACACTAAAATTTATAATGGTGTCGATTTTCTATCAGCTACCGAATTAATTTTTACATTTGAAGACAAATTTTTCGAACAAACTTGGGTACTTATAGACGGACAAAGTATTAGGCGATAGTTGTAACGGCAAGTGTTTTCCACTTCGAATATCGGGCTAAAAATGTGAAGATAAATTTCAATTTTTATGTTTAATTATAAATTTCATCAAGACGAGTAAAATTTTGCGCTAAAAATGAAAAGAAATTACTCAAATTTTGAAGTAAAAGGCACCTGCCGCTACCACTATTGTCTAATACTTATAACCAATTAATTACTTTTACAGCATTACTCACCTTCTAGTAATGTGATTAGAACTATCTACTCTATATGGCTAAACGGATAGTAAATAAGATTCCTCTGCTACCTCATAATTTAAGAAATTGATAACATAGCATAACATGACAACATTTGCCGGGCTGGCCTGTAGAAAAAGTCGATGAAGTTCAATCGTATTCCCATTCTATTCCAGATACCGTATATTGACTTATTGATACGAGGATAAACATGTACATCTTGCCACAAACTGAAACAAAACTGCCACAAACCGATTTATTAATCGCTTATTTATTAAATGCTTTAGAGCTTTTATGAAGATTTGAATGGATGAAATAAATAAATTATGAAGGGTCAATGAAAGTATCAATAATACTTCTTAATGTTAACGTAACACGTAACATAAGCAATTTGTTTAGCTTGTGATTTGAAACATCGCATTGCACTGGTATCATTGTACTGGTATCATTGTACTGGTATCATTGTACTGGTATCATTGTACTGGTATCATTGTACTGGTATCATTGCACTGGTATCATTGTACTGGTATCATTGCACTGGTATCATTGCTGTCTCTTATACACATCTAGATGTGTATAAGAGACAGATACTGTTGAGCCGCTTGATGGACGCGGTGGCCATACTGTTGAGCCGCTTGATGGACGCGGTGGCCATACTGTTGAGCCGCTTGATGGACGCGGTGGCCATACTGTTGAGCCGCTTGATGGACGCGGTGGCCATACTGTTGAGCCGCTTGATGGACGCGATGGCCATACTGTTGAGCCGCTTGATGGACGCGGTGGCCATACTGTTTAGCCGCTTGATGGACGCGGTGGCCATATTGTTGAGCCGCTTGATGGACGTGGTGGCCATACTGTTGAGCCGCTTGATGGCCGTAGACGTCAGCTGTCCCTTAATCTCCTCGCGTTTGATGATGTTATATAATTATTTTTTGGTATTAATATTTATGTTACTTGAAGATAAAAAAATAAATAAATAACCAAGATTCGCATGCGTTTTAATGAAGAATTTGAACCTAAAATGAACGACGAGGGAATGTGTGAGGGAAGCTGAAATTGCATGTCGGCAGACTTGCCCCTTTTCGTAAATAAATAATAGAACACAAATAAAATATGAGGGGAGAGGAGAGGGGCTTGTAATTTTATCCCGGCAGATATGAAGTGTTGCGAAAGATTTAACGTGTACTGTAACTGCCTGAGGTAGAGTCACATCCAGAAGTGGAATGCGTTCACTGTTCACTAATGTTAATAGAAACGATTCGTTTGTTACAAAATTCCCCCCACCTTTAAAGAATTGAATGGATTTCTTAACTAGGATGCACAGAAAAAATAACAACAAAAATGATAAGTTACCAATTTTATAAGGATCTTTAACTTAGCAACTAAGACCGTTTCACGTGCGGCCAGTAAGGAAATATATAGACGGAAGTCACATTAGTATTAAAATTGCAGCTTGTTGGCAGAATGATATGTAGATATGAACAATATATACCACATATATAACTTAGAATAACGATAATTGGATACTCAAGCCTGGTTTGTTTAGACCAATTTAGTTCTCAGATATCGATAAAATTAGGCAATTGTTTCAATCTTTAGGTCATTTATCAATCAACCACACGTATACAAGCAGATGTGCTGTAAGATATTTCTTATAGATTTATAGGCAAACTATAAAACAATAACCTCGTGTGCTGTCAGATTTAAAAAAATATGTTTTCATCTTATTAACTGATCTATACAGCTGCTGCATCGCCAAGAACATCACCCATCAAAATGGTAAGCAGTGAATAACTTCTTCCTAAACTGGGGGAGTGAATTCAAAATATGGCGCCTAGTGAGCATTTGGGATGATTTACCATTCTGGTGAAATGTTAGTCTCAGTACAGCGTTAAATTTTAATCTTTTATGAACATCTCATTCACACATTGCTCGTTTTACTTATCTTGAATATTCTATCATCGAAGATAGTGTACGATTTAAATTCGCTTTTTGTGGCGCTTTTTATCCTTGCTGGTAGTAAATCAAATACGGTGTGTTGATACCGTGGACTATGCGGTTCCGTGAATCTGCTACATCATCTTTTATCAACATCATTGAATACAATCATCCTTACAGACCACTAAATCAAATGATTAATTCTCAGCGGATTGGCATATCTCTCTACAATCATAATGAGACTATATATGTCATTAGAATGGCACACTTTTAAGCTTTTTAACGGAAATGCGGTGTTTGGATGAAATAAAAACATGGGCTATGCTGAAAATATGGGCATTATTCTAAATTTTTCACTGCATCTAAGAGAATTAACGGGAAATATTTATTATATATCATATGTATTAGAAAATTCCGTTAATGTTAGGGATTTTGCTGGTGTTGTTGGTAGTGCGGATCTGTGATACAAACATGGCTAGATTGCCCGAACAGCATGCGTTATATGCATCAGAATTATAGAATTCATCAGGAAAGTTCATCAAAATGATAGATTTCATCAAAAATATGTATCAAAATGATAGAAATCATCAAGAAAATGAATCAAAATGATAGAAATCATCAAGAAAATTTATCAATATGATAGAAATCATCAAGAAAATTAATCAAAATGATAAAATTCATCAAGTAAATTCATCAAAATGATAAAACTCATCAAGCAAATTCATCAAAATGATAAAATTCATCAAGAAACTTACGGTAATTAGAATGATAGAATTCACCGAAAAAATTAATTAAAATGATATAATTCGTCAAAAAATTCATCAAAATTATATAATTCATTCAGAAAATTTTTCAAAATGATAGAATTTATAAAAAAAATCACCAAATGATAAGAAAGTTCAAAAAAGGCAATAATTAGACCACCTGTAAATGCTATGTTTTTGGTGCATTTAGAGCTTACAATTCATCTAATTTGTGTAATGATTTTTTCATATTGGTGGCAAACGTGCTACGCTATAAAAAACTCTATTGCTTAACAGTGAATCTAGAAAAATAAAAAATGCAAGTGGGATGAACTGGCCAGAAAAAATACGGCGTGCTAGATTCTTTAAACTAAGAGTCATGAACATTTCAATTTTCATAAATCATAGAAATTAAAAAATCTTTACATAATCTATATATTTATTCATTATTTCCATGAATTTACATTGCACATACTTCTGGCCTCTCACTACAACAAGCTTCAATCATACATTATTTTGCATTCGCTTTCCGTGAACTTGTGAATTGACATCAAACACTTTAAATAATGAATCAATCAGAAAATACATTTAACATCGCACGGTCTGTGTTAGATTTCGCAACATGATTGTATTCATTATTAACGTTAAATTATTCGTAATAAATCTTAGCTCATGAGTGTGCTGGTTGAAACTCTAAATGTAAACTGCCCAGGCCACGCTTGGCGCGAGACTCCGTGTCTCATCAAAGTGTGTCAACAAGGGAGAGCTCGCTGCTCATTAAGGCTGTCTAATTACCTGTCATTAATTACCTGTCATTACTCCTATACGCCTTCCACTGGTGGCTGCCTATCACGAACATTAACATTATTGACAGATTGTTCATGTTACCGGAAGAGGCAACATAAATACTAGGGTTGTGATCGTCATTGGCGCTCCTCATATACTCTCTTGTTGCCAAATTGGGCAACAAGACACAACGAGGCAACCCGTAAGCTCAGCTCGAGGCGTACATCACTGCACATCACTGCACATCACTGCACATCACTGCACATCACTGCACATCACTGCACATCTGTGAGGTGAGAACTACAGGCATCTACACAAGTTCCGGCGTTTGTGAGGTGAGAACTACAGGCATCTACACAAGTTCCGGCGTTTGTGAGGTGAGAACTACAGGCATCTACCCAAGTTCCGGCGTTCGTGAGGTCTGAACTACAGGCATCTACACAAGTTCCGGCGTTCGTGAGGTGAGAACCACAGGAATCACCACAAATTCCTGGATTTCGCTATTTCTTCGTTTTCTATTCCAAAGCAAACAGAGGCTGAAAATATTCTGCCCAAACAAGATGAAAATTACAGTTCTTATGCCACTCCCGTACGACCGCTTTGGTAGCATAAACGAGTTATTTTAGTCATTGTGTTGATGATATAACTTAGGGCCACGGTGCTGAATAGGTTCTTCATATTAGTTTTATTACTTCATTTCACATGAAACTACAAATATCTCCTGGCGAAATATGATCATATTTGATCAGTCTTAATAACCCATTCAGAGTTAAAGGAGAACTGGCTAATGTGTTGTCTAAATTTTAATATCTCCACTTGAGGCGGAAACCAAGAAAACTAAATAAGATATTCAGATGAAACACAAAATGCAACTACAACTTACGAAGTAACCAATCAGCACTATGCATTTGTAAGTCAAATGGCAAGGACTCGAATTGGACTTTTGATTTGAATTTTTTGTCCCTTCCGTAGGCTGGAGAAAGATTTGCCCTGCACCCATTGCAAGAAAAATCCCATCTTCTGAGGAAGTGAACAGCTGATCAGCACAAGCCTTAGAATAGCAACATTCTAATGCCCAGGCTTCGTACCTCAAAGGCCTGAAAAACGGTGGCAAATCTGGATGTAATAAAATTTAGGCTAGATGCTCCGAGTTTACAGGCCAAAAATGAGCCTCTTTGAAAGAGATAAATGTTTTTTTGCCCCGAATAAATGATTGAAGTGCCCAACACGTAGCATAAAATCAATTTTGTTGCGAGGCAGCAAGATCGCTGTGACGATGTTTGATTTAATATTATTTATCGATACACTCTTCATGGTTAAAATAAGTAACGCAAACTTCACGCTCTTCTAAATTGGAGGCGAACTTTTTTATAATAACTTCGACATTATTTCATATGTATTCAATTATAAAATAACATTAATACTTGGCCAAGTTTGGTCAAACACGGACGATATCAGAGTCATATTGATATGAACATAGTAAAAGGGTGACGACAATATATTATGCAACACACACCATATATACTCACAGCATATTTGCATTTATTGAAGTAGAATTTAATTCCTCAACTCGTATCTTTATCACAATTAACTGCGAGAGACAAAGCTTCTCTCTTAAAGGATATCTGCAGTCATTGTAGCAGGATTAAAACCCTCCTCAATTTTAATATCTTCATCAGGCTTTCGAGCAATGCCAGCGTCTCAGATCATTCCAGGCCGGAGGTCTCGAGCAGAAAAGAATTATTATATTTTCCGGGGAGACTCTATTAATTAGCTCCATGATGCAGTCATGCTTAGACTTCTTTGCGGAAGTTCGTGCATTTTTCATCACAAAGGCTNACGTGCTTGATTCCGTCGTTAGTCAGACGTGTAACTTTGCTCGGCATGCGCTGCAAAAAATACCTGCTTGGGAACAAACCTCGGCAGAGGCGCCAGCCGCTGTAACTGCGCGCCATAAATTCTCAGTCATTTTGAGACTAGAATTTTGTGTCCTGACTTAGAGGCTCTGCAGAAGTTTGGCGTTTGAACGTATAGAAGATATTAGCGTGAAGCGTTTGGGGATAGTGTGACAACAACAGCATGCAAATGATGTCAGCGTGAAGCGTTTTGGGGATAGTGTGACAACAACAGCATGCAAATGATTTCAGCGTGAAGCGTTTAGGGATAGTGTGACAACAACAATATGCAAATGATATCACCGTGAAGCGTTTTGGGGATAGTGTGACAACAACAGCATACAAATGATGTCAGCGTGAAGCGTTTTGGAGATAGTAAGACAACAACAGCATGCAAATGATGTCAGCGTGAAGCGTTTGAGGTTGTGCGATGTCAACATTATGTCGATCGACGATATCTGCGTGAAGCTGTTGAGTGATTGTGTGTCATTAACAATGAATAAAGCACAAATTTATTTGGGACAATTATGTCGCACTTCATCATTTCATCAAAGCTGATCTCTGTTGCCTAAATTTAAACGATATTTAGTATATATTTTGAACGATATTCAGTGAATACTCTAAACAAAAATCAATGGATATTTTGAACGGTATTCAGTTGATATTTTGAACGATATTCAGTGAATGCTCTAAACGATATTCAGTGGATATTTTAAACGCTATTCAGTGAAGATTACAGTAGAGAATGTTTATTGTTGTTTTGAAAGTCACGTTTATCTTTACTCCTTGAGTGCCAAAAATTAAAGCAGAACCAGCCCATTGCTTTCAAGTCATGAGAACCTAAGGCAATTGCTATCTAGATATGAACGGTGTAGGCCTCTCATGTAAAGCGTGTTCGAGGAATTATGCTCCTTAATCCTTATCATTTTCTTACTCTCGCCTCAAAGTAAAAAAATTACATGAACTGCAGCGTTAGGTTCCACAATAAATACAGGTGCTAAATCTTGCAAAATCCTTGTATGTAACGATAATTTGGGTGCAACCACAGACTTAAATAGACTTACAAGCGTTTAAGGTTAACCTTAATAGTTTCTTGGATCTCGTGGCCGCCATACTTTTCAGTGCCGCTTGACCGCATCCAAACCTTGTGGCGGTTGTGACTCATCTCGCTCCATTGAAGCCGCTCAAGTCAATGCCCAACTTTGCCAACTAATCGGAAACTGGAAGTCAATTTCCGATTTGAGGCCAAACCTGAGCACACGTTGGTGCCCGGAACTATTGCTTAAAGCGATGGCCGTAGCTGACAAGAAACAGCGGAAGTGGTGAGAATCAATTGATGGATTTAACAAATTTTAGTAAGTTTGTTAAAAAAATTAGGTTTCATTGAAGACAAGTAATTTTTCAATACTAAATTTCTATTGATATATCTAATAAATATGATGTGATTTAGTGAAATATATAACTTTTCATTTTACCTAATTTACCTAACTGTGGGTGCATATGTCATAAACATGGCCGTTTTTTCAACTTATGGACAGTTTTTATTTCAAACTATTGTTCAACCTATGTCAGCTTTTATAAAAAGGCATGCAGTGCAAAAAGTTTGCAAGGCCATGCAGATTTATTCATGGCTTCAATGTTTCAGCACGCCCAAAAAAACTTGTGTCTGGCGCGCTGGTTTATTCGAGAGGTCTTGTGTTGCTGTCTGGTTTCGAAAGCCTCGTATTTTTTCAGGCCTTTCTAATAGAAGAGAAGGAAATATTTCTAGGGCCTGGAGCCATGCATGGTATTACTCCGCCAAAAGCCGTGCATGGTATTACTCCGCGCAAAGCCGTGCTTGGTATTACTCCGCCAAACGCCGTGCATGGTTTTACTCCGCCAAATGCCCTATATGGTATTACTCCGCCAATAGCCCTGCATGGTATTACTCCGCGTAGAGCCATACTTGGTATTACTCCGCCAAAAGCCGTGCATGGTTCCACGGTTAAATCAACGCAACCATAAAATTATTTTCACGGTTAAATCAAAGCAGTAGTGAAATTAGATTATTACTCTGCCCAAAGCTGTGCATGTATGGTATTGCTCAGCCTGAACCCATGTATGGTATTACTCTGCCCAAAGCCGTGCATGGTATGTATTACTCCGCCCAAAGGCATTAATCTGCCTTAAATGAATGTAGTTAATCCTGACGCAAACCGGTGGGCCCAAAAGAGCATCGAAAGTAATAGATTTGGCGCGTGACTTCGACAGGAAAAATCCAACTCGTTTTCTTGAAATGCATTATTGTCATGATAAAAACATGACTATAACGACAAATTTATTTATGATTGTATTGACAAAACTATAATGTTCAATGCAAAGACTTGAGTTCTTTTTTCTCTCTATTTATTTTTTTTTTCATTGCACTGAGAAAGCAACTATATAATTGAGAACAACGCTAATCTAATAATGATATAATCGTTAAATTATTTATATGTTATTTCTAAGAAAGTTGTACACAATTTGTCATCAGTTCAATAATTTCAAATCACCTCAATGATGTAAAACAAGATTCGTTGATTAGTAAGATTTAGAATAAAAATGTTTACTCCACGAATTGTCGAATCCCATTATTTCTTAAATCTAATCCAATTGGATATAGTTTGCCATAAGCATACTTCATTCGTGAAATTTCTTCTTTTTCAAAGATTGGAATATTACAAACGATACAATTAAATATTGTTATCAGTATATAGGATAAAAAAAAACATTTTACCATATCATGGCTTTATACAACAAATTAAAATAGATACATTCACGGGCAGTTGTTTTAGTCTAGGTTATTTACTTTTTACTCCTTAGTAAAAGTCTGACTGCGATAATATTCGCAAACTCATGAATTTCACAGAACAATACAAGCGTTCGTGAAAGGTTTCCTCAGTATATTTTGCAGGACATTTGCAAGGGGTGGATGAAACGCCAGAGCTACAGACTCCTTAGACCCTTCAGGGTCTGCAGACTCTACAGAGCTGCCATTTGCTACAGACTCTTCAGAGTCGCCAGTGGCTGCAGACTCTTCAGAGCCGCCAGGGTCTGCAAACTCTTTAGACCCGTACGGGTCTGCAAACTCTTCAGAGCAGCCAGGGGCTGCAGATTCCTCAGACACGCCAGGAGCTGCAGACTCCTCAGACCCGTCTGGGGCTGCAGACCGTAACCAGCAGCTCCTAAGAAAACAGACCCCGGAACGGAAGCTCTGACGCTAGCATGGCACGCGCTGTGCTTTAATTAATTTCATCTTTACTGGAAGTTTGCAATGCAGAGGCTTTGCTGGGCGCTCACGTTTGTGCTGTAGTAAACACGCTCCACTGAATTGATTTTATTTTTAGAACGACGCCCTGTTCCTCGTGCGGCTCCATTGAGAAGCTCTCTATTGACGCGCTCAAATTATGCTCAAGACTTCACTGCAGCTCGAAAAAAATTTGGTTCTGCGTACCAAGAAAGACGTCATAAACTTGTACAACAGTGCGGTGTCTGTGAAAGTTGAACAACATGGCGGCGTCTGTGAAAGTTAAACAAGATGGCGGTGTCTGTGAAAGTTATGCAAACTAGTGGCGTCTTTGAAAGTTGAACAACATTAGTGTGTGTGTGTGAAGGAAATTTGGGCATCAGTGAATAACATTGCAGCGATTGTGATATTGAGCGAAATTTCGACGTCTGTGAAAGTTTGACAACATTACGACGTCAATGATAATCTAAAAATATCAAGACGTCTATGGTAGTTGAATAAAGAAATTTCATGAACAAATTTAAAGCTGTATCAATAAAAAAAACATACGCGACATCTCACCGAACATTCAACTTAAGGGAAAAAACTTTCTTATTTGTAAACATTAAATCACAATTGAGAAATTCAGATATCGTTCTCTCATACGGAATTTGAGTCCGTCAAATGCTGCAGATATTACAATATTCTACAATATTAAAGTAGAATTGACATAAATTTACTTTCTTGCTGACGTTGGAAAAACACAAAAGATCTTTTATCACTAACGATGCTTAAATTTGAATTCTGTTCAGTTATGGAGACTGCCAGGACTCAAGGTCCTTAAACTGAAATTATAAGCAAGTCTTTGAGGCACTGCGCACCATGGCGGAGAAGAAGTAGGAGCAGGAGGAGCAGATGGAGCAGGAGGAGCAGGAGGAGCAGGAGGAGCAGGAGGAGCAGGATGAGCATTAGGAGCGGGAGGAACAGGAGGAGCAGATGGAGCAGGAGGCTCGTCTTGCAACAATCTTGGAGCAAACGGCCAGCGACTCCAGGGAAATTTCGAGCCGTTCAAGACTGCCTTCAGATTTACAGCTAACATCGATCATGTGGAGCACCAATTGGTAGCGGACGAAGATAGCTCCAAGTCTCGCACCAAATATAACCTGATGCCGCGTTTATGATTTACTAACTATTAACGGCTGCTGGTATCTATGCTGATGGTAATGGTCGCGTTCTGTAAGCACGTCTAACATAACAGATATTTAGTAGAAATAAAATTTTCTGTGAACTTTAATGAGTGCGTTGGAGTGAAAGTGAATACTCTGCAGAACCAGTACGGGCACTTGAAGTGCAAACAAAAACTTGGTGATTAAATGATCTTATCTTGCATATCAGGACGACGGTAATATATTTTATTTTAATAACCCTGAAATCAAGACTCCGTTGATGATCGCGCACAATTTAGATTATTTCGATACAAATGAAAGCATGACATTCCTGCTGCGGCTCCAGCAACGAGGGCAAAAAGTTCATGATTAGCACAATGTTTGATGGAAGTGGTCCAAGCATATTTTTAGGAAATATAACAGTTATAAGTCCATCACTGATTATCTTATTTGTGTAAAACAGTCATTAAATTTAGGTTTAGAGCTTTCCATGAAGTTGGTTTTGTACATTTCCAGGTTATATTTCTGCGAGAAGAACTGGTGAGAACTACAACGGGACAACGCTATTGAATATTTTCGCATTACGAAATACATCTGTGAAAACTCAGTTTCCCTGAGCATTTCAACGTGTATGTTGAAATGCTAAGAGGAAGAAAAGCGCAGTTATATATGTGCATTGCTCCAGCAATACAAGGTTAGAAAAAATCGCTTTCGTAACCTGCAATTTGATATTGTTTTTAATGGACTAGCGCCGAGTTATGATGCTCGTGAACATGCTATCAAAGGCCTAAGTAGTAAAATTTATTCGAAAGTAGTTTCATCCATTAACATTTGTAGAGCATTTTTATGATTCATTCCTCTGCACAGAACTAGTAAACAATCTTATTTGACTGCACACTCAACAATCTTCACTTGACTGCTAGTGCAGTCAAGTTAAGAAGGTAGCTCTCCAGTATTTCACGTTTGATGGAAAAACAGCTTAAAGTTGTCTTAGCTACACCCCAAAAGCGGTCGTCGCTCTCTTCCACATTACACTTCATTCTTTTTCAGTAAATGTTCCTTAAAAAACTCGCAACATAATTTCTGAAGTGTTTAGAGTACTCCTCTAGAATATTTGCAGTAGAAGAATCTGATTTTAGTAGTAATTTTCTTGATGGACGCGTAAATCTCCTCGCCGTATTCCGCGTTCAGTGCACAACGACCGACGAGCTCCAATATCCCGATGCGATTTTTGGCGCAGCGCCTTTCATTTCCTTCGCGATAATTTCGCGGCCACGGCATTATGTCAGAAAAAGTTTCATCAGAAACCACAAAACTTTTAGATTATAATCTCATAATTACTGCCGCAAAAATCTGGCTGACTTTTTTCCGCATACCATACCAGCAATGCTAGCAGCAAATTGGGACCAGAAGTGAGTTGAATCAAACGCAACTTTTTCTAATTTTGAGCTAAAATCCGGCGAGTTTCAAGTAAAGTAGCGACCAGGAATTCTTCGAAATGAGATCTTCTTCGTGCTGGCGCAGTAATTTCTGCTGTGGTGCAAGTGCAATACAATGCCTGCATAATACCAGTCAATACAATGCCTGCATAATACCAGTCGCGGCACAACAATAGTTAACGTACGAGCTCCGCCAGCTCTGGGTCTCAGAAACCAGAATGCTGGTATAATATTAAAATAATATTAGAATAATATTTCTATAATATTAGTATAATATTTAAATAATATAGTCATATTATTTAAATGGGACCACATTACTACATTATTGCAATCACTGTACTTCCTATTATTCATCATTAACGCACTCCATGTTTAAGCTAATAAGTAAATATAATTTTCCAATATGGTATAAGATGACCGAATATTCTCGGCATTATTTTTCATCCAATAAATTAGCATTTGTACATAAACATGATCGGTAAAATTTTCTCAACATTTCAGAGCAGGGATTGAGAGGGGTTCATCATTAAAAAAGAGTTGAGAGGGTCTTCATTTAATTAAGTTGACTGTATTTTGAGGACTATTGTGAAATGATTAAATATTTTTGTTCCGGGCGTGGGATTGAAATTCAAGTATTATAAAAATGAAGTTCTAATGTTACCGAGTATGAGCATGGCTCATTCATAGTGATTCGCGGTTTGTAAATCTCCATGAAAAAATCACTGAAAAGAGAGCGATTAAGCCGGTAAAACTGCGTCTTATGAGTCTCGTGCCGAAAAAGTTCTTGCAAATAAAAGCTTTTATTTTTTCGCTGGCAATAAAAGCTAGGCTGAGACTTCCCTGCGTCTGCCGCAAGAGTTTCCCCAGAGGGAAAGTGGCTTCAAAATTCCACTCATCACATTGAGCAAGTTTAAATTAAGCACATCCGCATTTATACCTAACGGCTTAACCCGCCAGAAAACTTTATGCTGATTCAACAACTTGCTTGGCCCCGGGGGAGGGAACGCTCCCTTGCATATTTAGCATGCGAATTACATGGAACTTCTCATTCTCTGACAGCGATTCTGGTTCTTAAAATTCTCTGGTTTTTAGGCTTTGTGTTACAGAGACGAAGTAATGAGAACAGTTTGTCTTGCAGGCACTAAACACGGAGAACATTTAGTGTTACAATAAACTAAACAAGAGAACAGTTAGTGATAGGAAGGCAAAAAATGAAGTCTGCAGAACTTTTTCTCAGAAAGCGATGGCAGCTCCTGTATTTTGGTAAGAAATATACTAGTTCGTTCCAGTTTGTTGATGGAAAAATTGGAGAAAATAAATTATATTGGAATTTCTGAGGATGCAAATAGAAGCATTCTGCCCGAGCCGGCATTTGCACGAAGGAATCGTGAATTCGCGCCTTGAACTAATTTCCTCAGCGAAGACTGGGGGTTGCTTCAGTCGACTGAACGAAGACCTCCAGTAAATCCACTCTATATAGTCCGGAATCGGATCTTATGGATTACCTCATGAAATCCCAAATCAGACCCTCAGTAAAGTCACCAAAGTTCATACTATACTCGATTAGGCTCTCAATTTCTAAATTAGACCATTAATAATTCTTCTCACCCAAAATACTAAATCAGACCACTTGTAAGGCTTACACTTGGTTACGGAATCGCTACTACTGAGTTTTCACGGGTGAACGGTCGCTACGGAATTATTACGGGTGAAAGGTCGCTACAGAATTATTACGGGTGAACGGTCGCTACGGAATTATTACGGGTGAACGGTCGCTACAGAATTATTACGGGTGAACGGTCGCTACGGAATTATTACGGGTGAACGGTCGCTACAGAATTATTACGGGTGAACGGTCGCTACAGAATTATTACGGGTGAACGGTCGCTACAGAATTATTACGGGTGAACGGCTGCAACAGAATTACGGGTAAGCCGCCTTGCAAGCACGACAGTCGTGCGTGCGCTTGATTTATGTAAGCATCTTGCTTGCAAGGGCTGCTGAGAAACGACATGTTGGCGCGCGTTCATGGCATGTATGCTGATCTAACAGGCAGCACGCAAGGAATAAATGACAGGTACATTGTTCAATCTATTACGCTCAGTAACTTTAGAAAATTTTCATTAGATTCAAAAATTTTACAGTGGTATATAATCTCGTTTCACTTTTCTTAAAATTTTCGAATAAACAATAGAAACATATTTTATAATTTAAATAATAATAATATACAATCATGGGACCATTTTGAAATTTTCGAATGATTGATTTTTTGAAGTTGGAGATTAAGATTACCTTTCGCCAGAAAATTTTTTTTCCGTAACCGCTGATAATCGGGATGTAAAATCAAAGTAAATGCGTCAAATATGGAAGAAAAAAGTTGACGTTTAAGCGGAACACAGCTTGCAAACTGAAATTCGTCCAAAGTATTCGGTTAAAACAAAAAATATCTGTTTAAACATGATACATTTTACTCGAAAAATCTCTGGCCATGCATGAACCACTCGAAATATTCAGGCTCATTTCAGTTGAGCCATTCGATGTCCCTGCTCGATCGCGTCTTTCATTGAACACAGCTCATGCTCAGAGTTTCGGCTCGGCAATTGTAAGCAATTAGACTGGACAAAAATAGAGTGCCAAAATAATTATAGATATATATATACAAATACGATAATTTAAGTCATATTGTGGAGTGTGGAAGGACTAATATGGCATATGGGTCGTGCAATTTGTTTGTGTTATCAGACGACATATAGGCAACGGGTACAAAATTATATTTTTTCTAACATATTTATTTAAAAACTGCTTGAATATATCATGAAATTTCTTGAATATATCATGAAATTTCTGTACCTGTAACAGTTGCAGAAACAACAATACCGATGAGCCGGAAAATGTATAGTTATAGTCCTCGTGTTTCTAACTACAATCCAAAAGAACACGTCAAACTTTCCCTATACGCGACGCTTGTTGTTGACATTTTTCGAACAAATTTTTTTCAGCCACGGCGTTTCGCAATCGCAAGCCTGATGCGCTTCAACCGTTGCATGATCCCCGCTACATCGGCAATTTCTCGCACTGATTTCCATAATAAACCAGCCATACTTAAACTAAATTTGCCCCTGAATTCCTAAGCCCATTGACCGAAGCAAGGAAAATTTAATTAAAAAAACCTATCATAACCGTGAAAAAATTTGTGATAACTTCCTCGCACAAGGAATCTAGCATTTGATTAAAAATTACCATCTCCGAGGCAGCGAAAACTCCTCGATAAATTCCGAGTTCGGGCAGATACTGGCGGCACTTTTTGGTTCTTTCATAAAATTTTCCTATCTCGAGATTAGGACATTTCATCCCGACACAGTACAGTCATATTCCTTTATTAAATTCCATTGAAGGCGCGGCGTCCAAACCACGTTCAGGGATTCGAGCGCATGCTTAATTTCATCACAGATTAAGGAATAAATTATGTGATGGTTTGAAAATTATAATGTCTT